TTACAAAACGAAAACTGAAAAAGATGAATTAGATACCTCTATACGAAAAATATAGTATAGAAATAATCATATAATAGAAAATGAAATTATTGTTAAGTGACTTAGCAAATCACTAAAGCTATAAAAAAAAATACTAAAAGCTTCACAATGACTATCCGTCTGATCGATAAAACTAGTTAACTAACATGAAACTACGATAAAAATAAACATTGTAGCATATTCAAATTCTCATGAGATATGTCATATATATTAACATGTATTGTCTCTTTTTTTTATCAGACATGAAGGTATAAATATACGTACAAAGTTTGGATGAAATTGTTTTGACACATTTATAATTAATAAGTAAGGAAATGAATTGTATGTAAAACAAAAAAAATGAATTATAAGATTTATTTTGATATTGTTTAATATTATAAGTCATGGTTTGAGTATTGTAGGAATTTTTACAGTTATTCAAAATAAAATAGTTGGGTAATAAGAAAAATGATAAACCAAGGCAAACATCTCAATATATTAAAGTAGATAACATATTTGGCCAAATGTAGAACACGATAAGATCTTCACTAGCTGATGACGACGAAAACAGGAAATGGACACATCTCTAGGAAAAAGGTTTTATGGTAGTCACAAGACTTTTTTGTTTCTTCTTTTATATCTTTATAGACCATCAATATATAAATTTTCAGTGTGCACTTTTTCGCATATTATCATTTTTTAATTTCGGTTCGATTTTCAAAATTAATTTGCACTCAACTCTTCTTAAAAATTTTGTTAAAAAAACGCATAGAGCCTGAAATGTTGCTAATTATAATCTTCTAATTGATTAGTAATTTTTTAAATTATAAAAGTATCTTCCAATAATATATAGCATAATTATTATGATATCATATTTGAACAATATACGTGATAATTGAATTGGTACACTTCAAAAGAAATAAACTTTATTAAAAACAATATCGGAATCTTTTAAGGAGTGGAGTAGATAGAATTGGGTCAAATAGTTTTCACAACGTGCTATAAACATAATGGAAATCAAATAAACACAAAAATAATAAAAACAAATTCACAGTCGTTTTCTTTATGGGCCGCCGTAATAGGGCCCCTCAGTAGACGACAACACATTCGTTATATAATTATGTGTTGACAGAAGAATTTGGCAAAATAGGATGCTAAAACATTTTTTTTTCTAATGATTTGGTAAAAAATCAAATTGATAGAAGAGTTTAATCTCAAGTCTTACATAATTATTTTATTTTATTAGGTATTACTAGTGTTTAAAACTTCATAATTTTGAAAAATTGCTTACTTTTCTTTTTAAAAAATTCTGTTTAGATATGTATTATATGAACTTGGTTTTTACTTAAAATTGTTTTTTTGGGGGATGGGAAAAGTTTAGCTGACGAAGCTCATAAACGTGTGGACCACCTAATTTTTGTAATCGCAGCATGAATAATGTGCTTCTTTATCTAACCACCTTTTTAAATGTAGATCAACTCCTGAAGTTCTCCAATGGACTCAAATTTGACCTAAAACTCATTATGAGATATATTACTCTAGTGAGACACTCGTCTACATAACTTATCTCCCAACTTCTGTTCTATCAGATTTTTAGTCGAAATTTATTGACCAAATTGAGAGTGTTATAATCTAATAGATTTTATTGACGAAAAAAAAAAAAATTGAAAGTGTTTAAAGGTCTTATACTTCCAAATACGGTGTTGAGATTGAACTTTTATTTTAGACTTCCAATTCCTTTCAAGAAATCTGATTTATGTTTATCCCTAGAGAAAAAAAACCCGAGAAGCATATGTGTTAGCAAAATTGGCTTTAAGAAATTTCTTTATTGTATCACTTTAATATGTTTAATGAAAATACTATTTTACTCCAAAAAATCTAGATTTCACCGAAAACTAGTTGAATCTCGTTTTCTATTGGCTCACGAGTTTTAAACAGTAAAATGACAACGATACTTATACCGGTGTAATAAAAAAATTATCCGCATTAAACAATAAATTATTTTCTATTTAAAAAATAATATTGTAAAATGCTATTAAAATATCATGTTATTAATATTTTTTTAGTAAAAACATAATAATTTGGTGGTCATTAGTATTACTATATAACCATCATCATAAAAGAAAATAAATGGTCGTCCTCAAAATTCTGAAAAGAAAAAAAAAACTGATGGTTTTAATATTTGAAAATCTGTTTACGAGTTCACTCAATCTCAATTAGAGATCCAGCTAATTATCTCGACAAACCTTTTTTGAAATCTTTTAATGCATAGAGCGAGCCCATGCAAAAGGCTTGGTTAAGATTTTGCGATAGAGAAAATAAATAATAAGAAGAAAAAACTGAATGATATCATTCAACCTTTCTTAAAAAGAATTTTTCTTTTCTAACCGAGTATCAAGACTTTATTACAAAAATTGAGCCATTCGATAACGCGTCTCAAACCACAACATAAGTTTAATGAACTCTTCTATAAATTAATACTTCATTAAATTAGTAATTTTTTCAGGTTCTAAGTTAATATTTTGGCCCAAATATCATCTATAAATTAATAAACACGATAAATTAATAAAATTTAGTAAAATAAGTTATAATATTATTAATTTATAGAGATTTTAGTGTATGTATATGTGTACTTCACCAAGAATCTTTGATTTAAATATTTGCTAGAAACAAGACATTTGATGCCTTTTCCATAATTGTATACACTTAATGTTGCATACTAAAGCAACTACTTGTAAAATACCCTCGATTTAGAATCTAACGGATTCCCTTGTAGTTTCCATTAGTGGTAAAAAGTTGACGACAAATAAAAATGATAAAAGTCAGATTATAATACCATTTTCTTTATCTAAATAATACTAATATATATTGAAAAACTTGAAACTGCAAAAAAAGGGTAGTATGATATTTAATAAATTTTTATCTTCGGTATAAGACATGTAAACGAGTGATCGAGCTCATGATGAGTGAGCTCAAATATAAAATATATGTAAGAATTAATAAAAATGTTACAAATTACGATATTTCTTGAATATAGACAAGCATGGTAATTTCATAACTATCAAAAAATGCACTAACATCATAAGATTCGTATCTAAATACACTGACTTATCTCTTTGTAATCGTCGGAACTATTTTGATACGAATGATGCATTGACATTTATTTACATTTCTAAGTTGAATATCGACTATCGAGATAATGTTTATGATGTATATATGACATAGTATTTGTATATTCTTATTTCTAGAAGTTAAAAGAATCAAATCTTGAAAGGAAACAAAGAAGATCAAAAGCATAGTAATGCACGTGGTCCATGTGAATTGTTAACATTAAACTGATGAACTGTCCCACCTGCCGTCCAATATGATTGATTATAGGGATTAATTTTTATTTATATTAGTATAATTCGATATCATTATCATCACTCTTATGTTATAATATTATCATTTACTATACAATAATACTCACGAGAAACATTTACTATTCAAATAGTATCTGATTTTGATGTAACCTAAACTTTAAGATAAATAATACGATGGACAGCTAATTGAAGATAAACATAACAAATTAAAATGATTGAATATGTTTTTGGCGTGACTAGTGGGATTCCTCCTTCTGCACTCAATCTTCATTTTAAGCTATTATTACTTTAACCATGTAATTATTTTTCAGATTTAGTTTTTTTTAAAGGGAAAAAAAAGAAAATATAACTAATATAAGGAAAAATATATTATCACATATTCACATGTAGCAAAATTTCAAGTCTATATGATCGTAGTATTTATTTTCAAGGCATCATTGAATTTATCACAAGACAATGTAAATCTGCAAGAACCCAAAAACATAAATTTAGTTTTTTTTTGTTAGTCTTCGTAAGAAAGAATTTTAGAAAGATATACTCTTTGTCTTAATTTTATTGTTTTATTTTTGGTTTTTAGGTAAAGGTTGGGAGTAATGGGACCATATTGGTGGCATGTTGTATTATTGTGATAAATATATGCATGGAGGAAAAGATGCCAAATGATTTATGTGTTATTCACTCACCTAATCCTTGAATTATTGTTCTAACTTAAAATATAAAATTTTAATATTTAAAAATAAACAAACAACATAACAGTGTTAGCATGTGTTCATCGTGAAATGTGAATGTAACTAAAAATATTATAAAGGGTTTCTTCCTTTCTTAAAGCATATGCTAATAATAGCGTTTGGTCAAATAAATAAATTATTTGTTTATTTATTTGTCAACAGATTAATTAGTTAAGCAGACAAGAATCATTTTTGAAGATTAAGATTCTCCCTTGCATTTCACTCTTTTGTAATTTTACGTATGAAGACAAACACATTTTTTTTTGTTTTTGTAAATTGTTAATTAGCCACGAGTCACGTTATATAGATATGCAAATCTCAAAATTAATTAAACTAGGACAGCAGTATTTTATAATTGAGATTATAAATTATAAATTTGATATTTCAAAATAAGTAATTAACCTGATATAAAAATATATAATTACAATCAAAATTTGTTTAAAAAAAGAATATAATTCTTAAAATTGTCATATTATTATTTTTTTCTTAAAAATTCGCAAATTTGACAAAACGACAAATCTTTTTAAATCGAAAAAATAGGTAAAAAGTTATTGTAGTGTTTTTCCACTGAGCTCACAGTTCACTCTTTGGTTCTAAAAGAAGCAATCAGTTATAATCTCAGCCAATCATTAAAAGTGCGTGTGTACACGCGCGACCAAACAACCGTACGATCTCACTCACTTCTGGTCTTAATTCTTACCGCGTCGATCCAACAGTCGATGGGTTAAATCGGGATGTGAGTTCATCGAAGCTTCTCTTTCTCTTACAACCATCCACGTGTACCAATCAACATCCGCCATGTAACATCCTTAACACTGAAATTACTTGCTTACCCTCGTTATCGGTTACACATATAATAATCGCAAACGCTCTCCATTTTCTCCACTACGAAGACTTTCTCCTCTATCTCTCTAAAAACGTTTTTTTACCGGTCACCGGTTTATGGAATGACTGATTACCGGCTACAACCAACGATGAATCTCTGGACCACCGACGATAACGCTTCTATGATGGAAGCTTTCATGAGCTCTTCCGATATCTCAACTTTATGGCCACCGGCAACGACCACGACGACCACGACGGCGACAACATCAACTACGGCGACAGCGATGGAGCTTCCGGCACCGGCGGGATTTAACCAGGAGACTCTTCAGCAACGTTTACAAGCTTTGATTGAAGGGACACACGACGGTTGGACCTACGCTATATTCTGGCAACCGTCGTATGATTTCTCCGGCGCCTCCGTGCTCGGCTGGGGAGATGGTTATTACAAAGGTGAAGAAGATAAAGCTAAGTCGAGACAGAGATCGAGTTCGCCGCCGTTTTCCACTCCGGCGGATCAGGAGTACCGGAAAAAAGTGTTGCGTGAGCTTAATTCGTTAATCTCCGGTGGTGTTGCTCCGTCTGATGACGCCGTTGATGAGGAAGTGACGGATACGGAGTGGTTTTTCTTGGTTTCGATGACGCAGAGCTTCGCTTGCGGTGCGGGATTAGCGGGTAAAGCGTTTGCGACGGGTAACGCGGTTTGGGTTTCTGGGTCGGATCAATTATCCGGGTCGGGTTGTGAGCGGGCGAAGCAAGGTGGTGTTTTTGGGATGCAGACTATTGCGTGTATTCCTTCGGCGAACGGAGTTGTGGAAGTCGGGTCAACGGAGCAGATCCGACAGAGTTCGGATCTTATTAACAAGGTTCGAATTCTTTTCAATTTCGACGGCGGAGCTGGAGATTTGTCGGGTCTTAATTGGAATCTTGACCCGGATCAAGGTGAGAACGACCCGTCTATGTGGATTAATGACCCAATTGGAGCACCTGGATCTAACGAACCGGGTAACGGAGCTCCAAGTTCTAGCTCCCAGCTTTTTTCAAAGTCAATACAGTTCGAGAATGGTAGCTCAAGCACAATAACCGAAAACCCGAATCCGGATCCGACTCCGAGTCCGGTTCATTCTCAGACCCAGAATCCGAAATTCAATAACACTTTCTCCCGAGAACTTAATTTCTCGACGTCAAGTTCTACTTTAGTGAAACCAAGATCCGGCGAGATATTAAGCTTCGGTGATGATGGTAAACGGAGCTCCGTAAACCCGGATCCAAGTTCTTATTCGGGTCAAACACAATTCGAAAACAAAAGAAAGAAGTCTATGGTACTAAACGAAGATAAAGTCCTATCATTCGGAGATAAAACCGCCGGGGAATCAGATCACTCCGATCTAGAAGCTTCCGTTGTTAAAGAAGTAGCAGTAGAGAAACGTCCAAAGAAACGAGGAAGAAAACCAGCAAACGGTAGAGAAGAGCCACTAAACCACGTCGAAGCAGAGAGACAAAGACGCGAGAAACTAAACCAAAGATTCTACGCGTTACGAGCGGTTGTACCAAACGTTTCGAAAATGGATAAAGCTTCGCTTCTCGGAGACGCAATCTCTTACATCAACGAGCTTAAATCTAAAGTAGTCAAAACAGAATCAGAGAAAATACAAATCATGAACCAGCTTGAAGAAGTGAAACTCGAGCTCGCCGGAAGAAAAGCGAGTGCTAGTGGTGGAGATATGTCGTCGTCGTGTTCTTCGATTAAACCGGTGGGGATGGAGATTGAAGTGAAGATAATTGGTTGGGATGCGATGATTAGAGTTGAATCAAGTAAGAGGAATCATCCGGCGGCGAGGTTGATGTCGGCGTTGATGGATTTGGAGCTGGAGGTGAATCACGCGAGCATGTCGGTGGTTAACGATTTGATGATTCAACAAGCGACGGTGAAGATGGGATTTAGAATCTATACGCAGGAACAGCTCCGAGCTAGTTTGATTTCAAAAATCGGTTAAAAGGGTGTGTTTTGAAATTTTAGAAAGTTATGGGGTCAAATCTTAATTAATTCGTTTTAGTGGCTTCAGTAATTTTGTAGATTTAGTTTTGTATGAAAAAATCTTAAAATAGAGCGACAAGTTTCTTTTGCTCTATGTTGTTGAGTCTGTATCGTTTATTGTTGTATCTCCTCAATGTGTAAACGTGTATATATTTATATGAGTTAGTTACTACAAATTGATTTCTACACAATTTTAGATGATAAAAAGAAAAAGAAATTGAGTTAAATGGTCTAAAATAAGAAATTAATGGTCATGATCACTGATTTGTACATATGGACAACAATGTCTCTCCTAACACATCAATCATAAGAGAGACAAATCTTAAGTTTAGTCGTGAGGGAGACATACCTTGAATTAGCTAAAGTTGCAAAGGAGAGACATTGTTGACCATATCAACCCTAGGGGTGTGGGAAACATGATCACAAATCGAAGAGCGAATATTTGATTTTTGTTGTTGTTGTTGTGATGTTTGAAACATGTACGTGGAGAAGATGAAAGCGGTGTTCACAGTTTTGGCGCTGTGTCATTTATCGGTGATATTGTATCCTCTTAAGTTACACTGGACAAAACACACATAAAACCTTAGTATACTACATGGATCTTCGAATACACAAGAGTCACAGACAAGAAAGAGCAAATCACTTGCTTTTGCGTTGATCATTTCCAATATCTACAAAAACAGAAATATTGAAAAGATTTTTTAATCTCAAATCAGTTATGCTTGTGGATTCTCATCCTCGATCACTTCGCAAGATCCTCTAGCAGCAACCTGACCAAACCAATCCTCAAGAATCAAGTTTTCTTCTTTCTAGCTTCAGCTTTCCAATCTCTTCCATGCCGCCTTATCTTCCATTTAACCGACTCACAAGAACCATCTTGAGCCTTGTTCATAAACAAGTGAGCTCTTCTAGCTTCTTTTTTCCAATCTCTAACGCAATAAACACGCCGCACAAAGTTCTCAACATAACCACTAGGTCCACTAAACTCTAGTCCCTCTTCTTCTTCTCCTTGTTTTCCCATGGTCTCAAACGAAAGATTATCATCGATACCCGCTTCTTCTTCCCGCATCCGTTTCCTCGCTCTATACCTACGTTGTCTTTCTCGATTCTTCATTCGACGGAGCAAGATTTCATCTTTGTCTATCAATCCTTCTTTCTCATCAATACTCAAACCACCATTACTCATCTCTCCTTCAATTCCCATTACTCAAAACACTGATAAAAACAAAAACCAAATTCTATAAGAAATCTTCTAAACATTAAGCTATATAAAGGTAATGCATTTAAAGGAAAGAATCTAACCCTATAAAACCCTAAAAACCTAATTCAAAAAGCTAAAGGCACAAACACACACACAAATGTTAAATTTTAACTAGAGTAAGACCAAATTAGAGATTCGTTAATAGCAATCAACCAGAAATATAAGACTTCCAAAGAATCAAAATTAGCAAAATCGATACTCTTTAAAATGAAAGATTGTGTTTTTTTTCTTTGCTTTCAAGTTGAGAAAACAGAGAAGTTCGATACTCAAAAGAACCTGAATGATTAATTCGATGATTGGGTTAAGAGGCTAAAACCCATAAATTACCAATCTCAGTGATTGATCTACGAGAAGAGAAATCCTAAAAACGAAAACCAAAATCCATAAAGGTCATACCTTTGAGCTTCGGTGAACAAAGAAACTAAAGTAGCGATTACCCGACTCGGTTCTCTGCTTGCTCGAGTGGTTTTTCAAGTTTTATGAAGGAGAAAGAGAGCGAGAGATTGTTCTTTGTTCTCTCTAAAAATTGATGGAAAGAGGTTGTTCTTTCTTTCTCCCAGAAGATTTGACTGAGAGACCTTGTAGGAATATTTAGGTATAACTAAGTTTTGTCTGATTTCAATTAACAAATTGGGGTGGTGGCGCAGTTGGCTAGCGCGTAGGTCTCATAGCTACTGAGTGATCCTGAGGTCGAGAGTTCGAGCCTCTCTCACCCCATTTCTTTTGTTTTTTTACCATTACAGTAAAACTCCATTGATCAAAATTAGGGTTTTTCTTCAATTCGTCTTCTCTCTGCACCGTGTTTGCTGGAAAACTGAGAGATCTGACCTAATCACGGTTTTAGGGTCCTCTGGATTCGATTTTCTTCATGTGAAAGACGTTAATTTCTTGCTCGTCTGCTTACTTTCATCGTTTCTCCGACCGATTTGCTGGATAGTGACGTAATGTGATAGTTGCTTATGAGTTGGGAACACTATCTGATTCGATTGGATAAAGGGTAATCTCTAGATTCACTAATTTAGTGGTTTTGGCTGTGAAAGAGTGAGTTTTTAGCTGATTCAGGATAATATTTGATCCTATAGGTGTTGCTTACTCTGACCCTCTTTGAAGCTCAGAATTTGTGGGTTTAGTCTTTTGTGAGATGGATAGGCCTTGTTGGCATAATGATCAGTTAGGTGTGAATAAGTTTGGGAAGAACATAAAGAAGAGTCCTTTACACCAACCCAATTTCTCAATTGGTATTGATCCCTTGATGCTTCAACCGCAACCACAGGGTTATAACATTAACAGGAATGATTTTAGAAGTATTCTTGTTCAACAGCTTACGGGTTCTCCATCGAGTGAGAGTTTACCTCAGCCTCTTCCTCTTCCTCGGAGTATATTGAAGACTCAGCAGAATAGTCGGTTGCAGAAGAATAAACCAGTGGCTCAAATACAGATAAACCGGCAACATGTTCGTCCCCCTGTTATGGCTCAACCAAATCATGAGTTAGTTGCTAGACCACCAATGCATCCTTTGCCACACGGTTCACAACCAAGTATGTGTCATGGAGACCAATTTGGGTCTAGTACAGCTGAGTCTTCCGTCTCGGTGTATATGCCTTATCGTCAAAGCTCACTAGGAGATTCAGGACCTAATGGAAACCAAATGCAGCCATGTCATGAGTATCAATGGCAGCCACAAGTGCAAGATCAAGCTCTATCACACCCACCGCCACAATTACATAATCGTCATTTGCCACGGTTAAATGGTTCTGCGCGAAACACACCCATTTTGCCAACTCCTAAGTTAGACGGTCTGTCACAGCAGATGTATAATAATAGTCTTCCTTCTCCTCGATTAAACGGTCTAGGGATATTACCCACTCCTACGTCCCAATATCTTCTACAATCTCCGACCGCTTACCGGAATTTACTCTCCCCTAGGTCACCTTATCCGCTGCTATCTGCAGGAGTTCAATATCCTCCACCAGTAACACCAAGAAGCTCATCAATGTCTCAACCTGGAATTCTCGGTCCGGGCACAATTCCTCTGCCTCCTGCATCTCCATTTGGGGTTTTACCAATCTCTAGTCCAAGATGGAGAGGTTACTGAAGATGCTCCATCATCTTAACTTGACTCTTTAGGTTAGTGTCTGTGTACTATGAAAGGTGCAATCTTTCAGAGCTTATAGGTTACAGGAGTACAGAGCTGTAATAACAATACTTTACTGTGCCTGTGAGAACGCAAAAGATCTTAAAGTTGATATATATTAGTTTTTGAGATTCTCAGAAGTTAGAAGAGCTTTGTTTGGCTGGAATTTGGTAGAAATAAGTTTGTGTTAAGTAGTTTCATACATTTTCATCTTTATATCGACATATCGCTTAAACTCTTTACATAGGTTTACTCATACATCCCAACACTTTCAAATGACTAGAAAATGGAACTTTAATGAACTCGTTCTGTTCCTTATTGTACACCAAAACCTTGTCCTTTTCTTCTTCACTACGAGGTACGACTACGAAGATTTCATTGTTTCTTGCTATGCATGCAAACCTAATATCAACGGGTTCTTCATCATTTCCCGCTATATTCATCCACGGGTCACTGTCCCATCTTGCAATCTTCTTACCGCTTCTAATTTCTCGGCGACATACACATAAATTGTCTTCTAGACTTGGGTAGTGATTGATAACGCATAGTTGTCCCCTTGAAATATCTAACCATGAATTGAATTCCAATCCTGAGAGCATCATGGGAACTTTTAGGTTTGAGTACTCTTCATTAACGAAATCAAAGCATAAGATGGATTTTTCCTTGTTGGACTTGTCTGCTATCCAATACATACAATGGTCCAATACCGTACCGGTCCGATCTTTGAAGAAGCAATCTTTAAAGGGAACTGGTATGGTTTCTCTCCAAGAACATTCTTTGAACCTAAAGATATAGGTTTTCTGGTCGATAATCGTCACAATTTTGTAATCATTAGAAACCCGATCATAACCGAATCCCAAAAGATTTTCGTGTTGACCCGGTTTAATCATCGGTACTCTCTCGAATTTTTTTGAAGTAGGTTTCCAAATAGCTAACTCATTGTTGTCTTTGAGGGTTAGACACATCATTCCATGGCAATGAAGGATACAGACCGGTTCGGTTTGAGGCGGTAATGTAAAGGGCAAATCAAGCTTCAGCAACGTGGTTTTGTTAAGGTCGAGAAGGTATAAACCATCTTTGTGCAATGAAATAAGCTGAGATGATGATTGTTGATTCGACATTGGAAAATTGATCAAAACAGATATGTTTTGGTGATTTTTGGGGAAAAGGATAGATCTTATAAATTATGAGAGAACGAAGTTTTATTGAGAGCGTGCTTACATAGTTATTGTATAACTACTATGTCGACATATATATAATAATACTTATCCATTATGATTTTAATTTGCATAATGAAGAATTGTTCACACTTTTCATTGGACTTACGAATTACGATACATACGTCTTTGAACCGTTAACATCAGTGTTAACTATAATCATATCACCAAAAAGATACTTCCGATATTAGTATTACTCATTTTATTCAAAAATGATAGATTTTTGGTCGTTATAAATTATAATTCTCTTAAAAGGAAAATTTAAGTTGTTACATGGAAACATATTTTTGTATTAAACAATGATATCATATGCAAAAAATATATGAAATGCGAAAAATCCTACAAAATAAGAGTTTAAGGTGTTAAATGAATCTACATTCTACATGATATCTCTTTTTCTATGAAAATTTGGTTACTAAGATCATTTTATAATCTTTAAAACATATCTAGGATAGTAATGAAAGAAAAAAAAATCATATAAAAAGAAAATAGATCGGATAACATATAGAAATGAGATAAAGATAGAAAGTTTTCATAAAAAATAAAGAGATACTTCTATGTTCTATCTCACTATTAGCACTATCATATCTTTCTATATTCCATGAAAATATACCTTCCATTCAAATTGAAAATAAAAAATAGAAAAGGAAGATACACATAACATAATGACATGTAAATACATATATTCTACTTTCTATGAAAAAAATGCAAAACAATTTTAAAAGGACAATATCCTTGTATTAAAGTTGGATGCATCTTATTATTGAAATAAATCAAGAACTAAATTGGAAAGAAATCAGGAATTTAAAATGAATAAGGAACCGTTGTATATATGTGTAAAATTCTTATATATCTCGTGAAGCTTCCTAGCTTAACTAGTGACACTTTCTTCTTGTTAAAAATGTATCAGCGACCGCAAAATGATTACTTGAGAGTGAAGCGGAAGAGCAACTTCGACCAACTAAACGCTGACTATAACACCATACCTCAGCCGGCGCAACCACAACCGCGAGTGCAAGTGTACATCATAGACAAGAACGACTTCAAAAGCCTTGTTCAACAACTAACGAGTTCTCAATCATGTGACCGTTTACCTCAAAACATTCCAAATCATCAAGATATTAGACCAGAGCCGATAAACCGGACCTCATCGATTCCTCCAAGTGCCATGGCGGGTCAAGAGGATCCTGATGTCTCGTTGTATATGCGTTATCTTCAAAGCTTACTCGAAGAATCATCAGGATCTAATGGAGACCAATTTGAACAATCACTTGATGAGTATCATTCTTATATGATGGCTCAAGCTCATTCGCAACCTCAAGATCCTACACAATCAATGCCACAGTCCAATGGTTTTGAACCTTTTCCCTCTTCCTGGTTCAATGGCTCGCCCCAACAAATGCAAGATGCTTCCTCATTGCAATCAACAAGAGTTGAGTATCCTCAATCATTGACTCCAAACTTCACATTTTCATCTATGACTCAACCTGGAGGTTTTGGTCCGGATCTAGATTGTATTGGTCCTGATGAGATTTTCGAATTTTCATACGAAATAAATTGATAATTTATTTTTCAATCCTTAATATAAATTTAAAATATAATGTTTCCATGATTTCAAATATCATAAAAATCATAATAAATTTTGATTCTTAAAACAAATTAATAAGAGAGATTTTATAAGCTTTAGTTTGGATGGTACTCACTATGAAGTTTTGTTTTGGCTTATCATTAAACCAATTAACTTTTTCTTGAAAATAACATTAGCAACATTGTTCAACTGCTACATGAAGTTAGAATCTAATCCACTACATGAAGTACAATACCAAAATATTTCTAAAATCAGAAGCAAGAGACTGAAGCAACAGAGAGAGGGTAAGAGAAGCTGTTAGCATATTGAAAGGAGAGTGTCTGTCCAGGACCAAGAGGTTGACCGTCGTTGACTAGACAATCGTCGTAGTCGAGTCGCCTGAAAACTCGAGGGTTAACCAGTCGGACCGAGCTGAACCAGCCACAACTGACGTGGATCTCAGCGATATTGCAATCTGAGACACAAGAGTTGAAGATCTCAACTGTATATGAAGGAACTCCACTTGGAAGTGGATTTGTTGAGCCTTGAAAGAGAACAATATCATCTTTTGAGCAATCTTGTCCAATCCTGTTGGTCCCATCACCAATGTCTGAAAATGTCTCTGAAGATGTGCCTTTAGGGTTCTTATAACATTAAAAACAGAGATTCATCTTTTGACTGAATAAATAAGGTAGGGTTTACTAAAACATAACAACAGAGACTAGTCTTAATGGATATGTGAAGCCAACAGTTTCTATGAGGAAATGTGATGAACAGTGTCAAAAATGTGTCTTTAGGGTTCCTAAAACATAACAACAGAGACTGATCATAGAAGATGTGAAGCCAAACAGTGTCTATGAATTACCGGGAGAGAGTAGCAGCTTTCTGGGAAGGGCGGTGCGGTTTCCGTTAATGCTTCTTCCATCATTAGAACCTTTGAAGCCGTTGGCCTTCACAGCTGCAACATTGACAATATTCAAATATGGAATTGGTTTATAGTATAAGAAGAAGAAAAAGAGAGAGAAAGAGAAGGATATTATAGACAAGAACTTACACAGAGCAAGAGACAAAACACCTATGAAGAAGAGCCAATGTTGGAATTGGTAGAGATGTTCCATTCTCATGCACTGGCCAAAAGATGTGGAGGCTTCTTCTCTGTTCTAGTAGATGCAGAGTTTTTTATAGAGGTATAATACACATGCATGGTGGAGAGTTGAGAAGAAACTTAAGAAATGGAAGTTTGTGATTGCATGCATGTCTGCTGTTTCCATAAGGGTATGGACCAATACTCTTTTTCAATCTCAAAATCTATCTACCTCGAGATTCAGAGAAACATAACTATTACCAAAATTTTGTTAAAGTTTTGAAAAAAGGGGCTGACAAAAGGTGGTTGAGTCATTAATTAAACAGAACTTATCAACAGAGTATCATAAGTCACTTCATTTGGAAAGCAACCTTGCTTACAAAAAGTAGAGAATTATAACACTTTGATAAGTAAAATAAGTCAACCAAGTTTCAACGTTTTCCAACAATCTTTAATAGTAACAGAGAATTGAGAGCATTGTAACATATTGCAAGTATATACACTAAGTGGTCTTAGTCTAGTCCAAAGAGAAGGAATGCCTATAGAGCAAAAAAAAAAAAGAGCTTGTTAGAACTAGAATGGTTTAGAGATATTTATATGCTTTGGTTTGGATAATGATTGATTCTCTAGTACTCACTCTATCACTTTGTTTGGATCATCTTAAAAATTGTTTATCCCACACTTATCAATACATAGAGAATGCAGAAAATTCAAACTCAGCAACAACAAGATAGGGTCTCACACATATCTTGACTTTCTACACAAACACCTAGATAGTTGGAGAAGTTTCATGACACTCAGATTCCCCCCAAGACTTTGGTTGATCAGTTGGTCTATAACAAGATCAATCTACGGTGGAAAGCAATCTAATTCCATAGATACATCTTCTTTGGAGAGATATCAAAGTTTTGGTATACAAAAGGATAGTGAATCATAGGGTTCCAACTTCCAATATATGGTAAGATGGGAGAAGCCTGAAACCTTGCTCGGGTTCTAATATGTTGTAACATTAGGCAACACTCTTTAGAAGGAGAGACTACAAAATAAATCCCAAGCATCTTCCATTTTAACAGCTTTCATTGTTCAATGCTGGTAAGGTGGAAGATGCATGGGATTTATTTAGTTGTTTCCCTTCACTTTCTCTAATCCCTGACCCAAGAAGACAGTGGACCATAAGGCTGAAAATTCCTGCATTATAAACACACAAAAAGATGATAGTATATACTAAAACCAAGAATCCATTTCACTAATGTTTTCTCTACCTTACCATTATCACATTAACCATCTAACAAAATGCTCTAGATCCTAATATCAACAAGACAACCACAAGAACTATCCAATTCTATGCTCTCTTTAAGAGTTGCAAAATCCATTCATGAGATTGTTATAAGTCACTTCGTTTGAGAAACAACACTTTGCTTACCAAATGTAGTGACTTATAATACTCTCATAAACAAACAATCTTCAACATCTTCCTAAGAACGATCAAAGAATATACCTTTTGGTTGTTGACACAGATTGCAATCGCCATGGATCGAGTTTTGCTTCAAGCTGATTGGTATTGGAATCAAATCCTCTGTTTCGTGAGTAAACTAACTCTGCACGGCGTACCCTAATAGAGTTTGTTGAGTCAGTGGATGAGAAGAGAGTTATTTATAGGCTAGGTAACGAAACCGGTTTAGTGACGGTTTAAACTTCTCAACCCGGTTTAGTGAATTAATCGGAAACAACCGTTGATCCCTAAATAAATACTACTAATTCAATGATTTGGATATAAGAGGGCTAGATTTTTATTATCATAATTCGAAACAAACATCGTTCAAAGGCGAAATTATGTATATGCAATAATAATAGTTTCATCCAATTCCAAGTTCTAATAAAACCAAACGACAAAGCCAACATAGAAACAAGCTTCTGTTGCAGGCAGACACGAACATTGGACAACAACTTCTCTTTGGTCTGATATCACATTTTGATTCAACGCATGTTCTCTCTCCTTCGGACATATCTGGTCCTGTCGTGGTACTTTGGTTTATCATTGCTTCTCTGGGTCGTTAACTCTATGATCTTTCTCTGTCTCTCTGGAGGTCGTTGGACTATTTCTCCATTCACAAACAGCTCAGCTGCAATACCGTAGAAGAAGTGAGCTTACCAAACTAAAACCTAACCTACACGTTATATTCAAACACTCAAGCTAACGACAAAAAGCTCTGCTGCAATACGTTAGAAGAAGAGTTTGATTAGGCAGTGAGCTTAAGAAGTAAACCTAAACAGAGACTCTAGTTTAATGATTTAAACCTCAAGCTTCATCTATCAAACAAACAGACTAAAGCCCAGTGTCGAAGATGACATTGGAATCAAAATGTTTTGGCTTCTCTATAAGGAACAACTCATGGAACACACAAAAGTGGCACAAAACAAGAATCTAATGTCTAATTGAGTGCAGGAATTGAATCCTATTTCCACACTCCACAGTTATAACATTAACAAAACCTGAGATTTGTGCTTAATTAAGAGCAGAAATATGAAAACCCTAGTTCTAAGCTTAGTCGTGATCGATTATAACACAGAACAGAACAAACAGAGAACTTCGAAACATAGACTGTGGTAAAACAAACACAAACAACAGTACCTCCGTAATCTTTGTTTTCTTGATCAACATAAGAGTCTGGTAAAACGAAAAGAACACCAGGAAGCCCTGAAACACACACAAGAATCAAGATTCATCCATTAAACCGACAACGTAACGATCCGGTAATGAAATGTGTTTCAGAAACATTACCTTCAAATTTATTTGATGACTCTTCATCAATCTCACAACCAAATCCAAAATACCTTTCGCACGATACATTATAAATCTTCTTCTTAGCTTCTTCCTCACTAATTAAACAACAACAAGAGATGATTAATTACATTAACTAAATACTTCTTCTAACTAATGAATCGATGAAATTGAAAGAAACCCTAACCTGCCGAGGATTTTAGCTAGGGTTTGAACATAACAATCAATCATTTGTTGCTTTGTAGCGTTTTCGCCTCCAGGTTTGTCCATTACAATAAGCCAATGCTCATAATCACAGCCAGGAAACAACGGCGCCATCTCTGTAGGTGGTCGGTCGCTGAAATTCGAACCGGATTTGAGTGGAGAGTATGATCCACCGGACCTGTCCATTCGAGTTCGAATCGTTGTGAGACGATTCAAGGAAGAGACGAATCCGACGGCATGGGAGATTGCTGGGGTTGATCTACGGGAGAGGAGGTAAGAAGGGGAAGGAGTGGTGGCTCCGGAGGTGGAGAAGAAGCGTTTGGTGATGCGTGAAGCGGTGGAGCGAGCTAGGGTTTTCGCCATTGAAGCTCAGTGAGGTGTCAGAGTCTGAGAAATGAACTAGACTAGGGTTTAAGCGAAAACCATTGACTTGTTAAATCATATGGTTCTTTAATTAATGGGCCAATGGGCCGAACTTTTTACCACAAGTAAAATAAAGTCTTAAAGGTTAGAAATGAAACAATTTGTTGAGAGATGAAGTATCTCTAATAATTTTTTTTTAATATGAATCTAGGCATACAAATTATTAATAGTAACATTTTCTGAAAGTTTTGTTAACTAAAATATTATATTTATAACATATTTAAACTATTGATGTTTTGATAAATTCAGTTTTTAACTTTAAAATACTACTTCACATAGATAAATATTTTTACTTTATATGACTCAAAAAGAAGAACAAAGATCTTCAATCTTCATATTAGGAATTTTTGTGGTCATACTAAGTTAATTAACAAATTTTTTTTGTTATCTAGTATAATGTGTTAACAAGCATGTTTAAAATCTGCTACGCGGTTTCTTAAAGATAGTTGTCATTGATGTTCAATTATAGGATAATTTTTTGTTTTAAGCGTCCGCTTTATTCTTAATATGGATATTTTATTCATTGTTTTGTTTATTACAATTTACAAGTTAATAATGATGAAATAACATATCATAAATCCGATAAAACATTATTTATATACTTTAAATAGTGCACTCAATATATATGACCAGAGTCCCTAAGGAGTAATTAAGGACCATTTTAGAGATAAAAATGTTAAAGTTTTGAGATAATGAAAATATATCAATTAGCCAGATCATTAGAGAATATCAAAAAGATGCTTGTGCTGCATGCCTTTTTCAGATTTATTGTGCTAAGAGCATGATTATCAATGAGCTCTTAATAATAGCTCTTAGGAATATTTAAGTAATAAATTTGTAAAAGTTATAGTTAAGAGATTTTATTTTTGGTTTAAGATTTTATTTTTATGTAATGGTAGGTTCTTAACATGTGGTTCTTAGAAAAAAAAAATATTAATATAAAAATAAAATTTATTATTATAAAAAATTTAATAATTGTTGTAAATTGAAAAAATTAAAACATACATGAGACAAATTTTGAAAGTTTTATATGAGTATATGAACTTTTGAGTGTTTACATTTGAATGATCATTTGAGTAAACATTTGTCATAATTGTCTTCTATCTTCTTCTTTCTTCTTTATCAAGTTTCTGTAGTGTAATATGCATAAGAAATTTCGAGTGTTTACATATGAACTTTTGGTTAAACCAAATTTTGAATGAAACAGAGTTGTGGTTTCGGACAGAAGTGTTTACATTTGTGTTGGACAGAAAGACAAACTTAAATGTTTACATTTCAGACAAAAGTGTTTACATTTGACACAAAAGTGTTTACAAAGTTTTAGTTCAAACAAAAGATCTGCCATCTCTACTTGCCATGTGATGCTTGCCATCTTCTAGTTGTGAGTAACTCTTGAAATACTAGTGCATGGAATAACCAAAGTATTAAAAGCCTTTTAACAAAAATATAACCAAAGTATTAACCAATAATATAGAAACATCCTACAACGCCTAATTTCTTTATTTCTTTCTTTTGTTTAACGGCTTTCATACAACTTACTTAATATTAAAGGCAGTCCAAAAATCTATCGAACACTACAACACAATCAAAATACAAAAGAAAAGAACTAGAGCAAGTCGTTTCCGTAATTATTACGATGCCCCGTGGGAGGAAAAGCCTGATGATGGCCCGTCGGAGGATACACCGGTGGAGGCACCGAGGTCACCGGTGGAGGCACCGAGGTAACTCCAGTATGATTATGCCCGTAACCATGCCCCATGACCGGCGCTGGAGCCGGTATAGGACCGTGTTGAAGCACATGTGGACCATGACCAACATGGTAATGAGATTGCTTAGTCATTAGCTTGTCTTCCGCATGAGCCGCTTTAGCCATATGCATATTCATCTTCGCTTCTGCTTCCTTCGCCTTTCTCCGCTGGTGCGCTATCTCTTTCTCCTCTTTCGTCCTCGCCATCGCCTGCTCCGCCTATACACATCATTAATATTTGAATCAATCAAACAATCACTAACTAATGAATCATATAACGTTAAAAGAAATCATTAGCATAATTCGATTCAGAACCTTCTCATCAGCTTTTGCTTGACATATAACCATCTTCTCTTTGGCTGTACTAGCCATATCGCTTATCTTCTGTTTCGCCGATTGCATTTTTTTTCTTTGCTTTTCTGTTTCTCTAAATTACTAATTGAATTGGTTCTTCTTAATGTTTGGTTTAAATAAGAAAATGTAGATGCAAGGCCTCGTCAGTCCAAATGGGTCACATTAATTCCACGTGTTATTAATGTCACCACGTGTCTTGTTTTCATTCCCAGCTTTCTATCTAGCTGCCACGTAGAGATGCTTCGCTGGCCTAATCTGATATCCATTACACGCACCGCCTCTACCGGATTTTGGTGATTAAATTATCCGGTTTAGGATTTGATGTCTGTTAACCGGAAATTCAAACAAAAAACACTTCCGGTTTATGATTTAGCAGCGAATGGTTGGGTCTCTTACCTTCCCAGGAACATTCTCTTATCTTCTTCAACCTTTGGACTAGTAAAAGCCGCGAAAATCAAAATCTCCCAAAATCATGGCTCTGATTTTGCCGTGTACATTTTGTACTTCGCTTCAGCAGAAGAATTTTCTGATTAATCGGAGATATTCTCCGAATTTCCGTCGAGGAGCTACGACTACGACTTGTGAGTTTCGAATTCCTGTAGAAGTTTCCACTCCATCAGATAGAGGATCGTTGAATGTTCCTTCGCATAAGGTCACCGTTCATGATCGACAACGAGGAGTGGTTCACGAATTCGAGGTTCCAGAGGTTAGATTTTGATCCGTAACGTCTCTTTGATTTTGATTCGCGACACAATTGGCTCACATTCCTAGCATGAGATAGGAGATTATGATGATTATTCGTTTGCTATATCAGAATAGAAGCTGGAATTAGAGAATGTTTATTGATTGGATTAGTTATACTTGAAATGTATGCTAAGATTTTAGATGTTTCTTCTAGCTAAGTTAATCTTGATTCAACTTAGGTTTTGTGACTCTCTTGCTTCCATTTCGATGTTCGTTATGCGTAAAGTGGAGGAAATGAGAACGTATTTGCTGCTTATGGCTCTTCTGATTTAAAGAAATATGAATCAACTTGTAGTTTTGTAACGATTCTTACGTCTGGACTTTGTTTAGTGTGGTTGATTTAACCGTGTTGTCTGGCTTATCACCGGTTTCCTTTTGTTGATATGTGGAAGTGTATTTGAAATGCAGGATCAGTATATATTGCACTCAGCTGAATCTCAGAACATTACTCTTCCGTTTGCTTGCAGGCATGGTACTGTTCTCTTGACTCGTTTTCATTTAGTTGCTAAGAGATTTTAAAATGTGTATATGTTTTCTTGTCGCCTACATGTATCCTATTTTTGAAACTGTAAAGGTGATGTAGATGATTAGTATAAGCCAATCACTAATGTAGTTATGTTAGAGGCTTAGAGTTATATATGTATGAAAAATGTTCCTGTGAGATTTACATTTTAAAAATATGCTTTGGCTAAGTTCTCAACTTACTTAGGTGTCTCGTCTACAATTTGAGATTTACAATCTTATGTGGGCAGGTTGCTGTACTAGTTGTGCCGTACGTGTGAAATCTGGAGAGCTGAGGCAGCCACAAGCATTGGGAATATCAGCAGAACTGAAGTCCCAGGTAATAGAATAATATCCCTTTACCTTAGGGCTTTAGGGAGGTAGGTTTGTGATATGGCCAGAAACACAAGTAGGCTGGACCTACAGAGACAGTTTGTGATGATGATAGTCAGTGTCTGTAAAAAACTAGGTCCAACTCTTATTGAATCAACGAAAACAATGTGAAGCTTTAACTAATCTCATAATTGCAAGGTTGTATTTTCCTAAGTGAATCTCATCGCTTGATTTATCTAACTGTTAGCGTTTAGCTAATGTTTAATGTATTATATTTATAGGTGGAACATCTTCCTCTTCTTAGAAATCAATTATATTGAAGCATAGGTTTAACTTTGAGGGTAGTAATAAGTGTGCTAATCATTAACAAAGTATAGTGATTTTGGCACTTAGATTTTGACCTTTAAGTTATGTGGTTTATACATGCAGGGATATGCACTTCTTTGTGTGGGTTTCCCTACATCCGACCTTGAAGTAGAAACACAAGACGAGGACGAGGTAACTTATTATAAAATTTACTCTTCTGAAAATCCAATAATTGCTGCAACAATACATGTATTCTCTCATTTCATTCTAGTTACACAGTTCTAAATAGTATGGATCACACAGGTCTACTGGCTACAATTCGGAAGATACTTCGCCCGTGGACCAATTGTAAGTCCTCAGAGCAAACAAAATAGTCTTACTCTTATTGTTACAAGTCTTCTAAGTCAAAATAAATCAACAAATGAATAGGAAGACTAATGGTGAAGTATATCTAGTTAAATGGATAGACTGCAATCCGTTAATAAACTTAGGGCTTTTGGTAATCCTAACATGCAACAACATATAAGTCAAAAGACTAATGGTGAAGTGTATCTAGCTCAATCGATAAATACTATAGATTGTAAGCTGTTACGAAACTTAGTGATTTGTTAATTTTATAATTATAGCTCGTTCACTAGGACTAGTAATGGATTTGATGTTGTCAAAGAGATCAAACTTAGCATTATTATTATCAGGGTTCAAAATGATTTAATGTTCTTTTAGTCTTTATAGGCACTGGTCTTTTAACAGTTTTATCGATGTTACACTGCAGGAAAGAGACGATTACGCTCTTGAACTCGCCATGGGAGATGAGTAGAAGCAAAAAGAAGCATGTAAAGTCGCAAACTTTATGTATTAGAAGAGACTAGTGAGTTCAACTTTCTTAGTCCTGAATCTCATGGTGCATCCTCGTAAATCTCTTAATGAACTCAACGATATTCCGATAAAACTTCCCAACAATTCAACATTTTATGAAAAACTTCTGAACCTTATAACCGTGAACTCCAAATCCGAACATAGTTTTGTTTGCGTATCTCAAGCCTCTGGTTAACTGTAACCCTTGGTCCTAAGTAATAGTGTCAATAATTCAATTTTGGACATGGAACACATAATTGTATATTTGTGGTCCATGTGAGAAGGAAAGGTAATGCTTTTGTGACCGTAAGAGATGATGATAACAATGTGGGCATATGAAATGCTTTTGGTATATAATGCTTTGTTCCTTTGTTATCATCTACCAAACTATATTCTTATGTATGTAAAATTACTAGAAGGTCTAGAACATTGCATAGAATATACCTCTTTGATATTTTCATAGAATTGGTCTGTTTTGACAAAACGACACTGAAGTTGAAAACCGATTGAAAAACACTCACCAACCTTTCCTGACATTTCTGTAGTGATATGTTCCTGTCTCAACCTGTGTGTGCAAAAACCCGATGATTTTGGGTCTGATTTAGTTTGGCAGTTGCTAAAAGCTGTCATAATGGACTACTCGATGTTTGATGTACTTTTTGAGTATGATACATTTTTCATCTTAGCTAGTAATTGGGGTCCGGTCTTTTTTTTTTTTTTTTTTGTGTGTGTGTGTGTGTGTGTGTGATTTTTCTGTTTGTTTTGAAGTTCATAGCTTTACTTACATTTTTTATCTATCTAACTATGCAAAACATTGCAATTTTGACTTAATACTATTTGTTTTTTTTTTTTTAAAAAACTAAATTGTTTTCTTCGTATCACAATAAATGTCATTTTCAATTATTATTTTAAAATAATAATATCGTTTTAGAATTTTAATGTAGATTTTTAGAAAAACATATAGAATGTGTTCCTGATCTAAATGAATAAAAATACTTTCTCTGTTTTCTATGCACAGTTTATATTAACTTAATAATATGTAGATTTTGTTTTGTTCCATTTTATTAGATTTTTTCAAGTTTCTATGCACAATTTATATTGACTTAATAATTTATGACTATTTGAATTGTGCAGTATTTTTTCTATTGGTTGAATTTTTATAAATGAATAAATATTTCTTATTTTTTAATCTTTGTACTTTTAGCCAAAATATTTTATAAAACGGGGGAGAAATATTATATAAAAGACAAAGAAAGTTTTATATGAAATTTGTCTTTTAAAATAATGGTAGAACATTTTTCTTAATCTATGTTGAAAATATTGAACGGCGTTTATATATATGTCAATTTTTTTATAGTAATATATTTTGTTGAGATGGGTTTTTTACACTAAAAATGTATTAAAGCATGTTTGTAAGTTAGTTAATAGCCATAATTTTGTTAGCTTGTGATTAAATATCGGTTTGGTGTGCCGTATCAAAAGTTGGATATGATACCTTGCAGTATTTGATATGGTCAGAGATTTTAGCCATTAGTTTTTGGTAAGTGACGTGACACTGACAGGAAATGTCAAATGTGTATCGAAAGATTTGGCTGCCGAAATTCTTGAAATTTTTTTTACCCTTATATCAAACTACTGTTAGTCGCAATTTATTTTTGGTTATCCAGATAAATTGACTAGTCAAAAATGAGCATTAAATCATAAAAGGAAATCAAGAGATATCTATCTCAAAGTCACATGCATCTTCTTCTACGTAGAACATAAGACAAGAAAACGAAATTAAGCTTATCCTTAAAAAAATCTCCAAGCAAATGTTCAAATATATCTATGTCAAAAATCTTGCCGTGATCCAAAGAAACGAAAAGACATTCGAAAGACACTTAAACCAACCAAATATCAAATCATAAATGAACCCGTGAGTGAAGTCCACTCCAATTATCCATAGACAGATTGCGTGGAATTATTCAGACTTTGGTCAATATCGAGGGACAAAACCTTTTCGAGTTCTGTTTTATTTATTACATATTCGTCCCATTGTTTTATTGTGTAATACGATTAAAGTTTGTTTGGTTTATACTTATTAGAATGTCCCACCTCGATAATTCTACACTAATATATATATATATAAGATTTATGGGTTTCTTCATTCCAAAACACATTCTAATACTAATACTTTATAGTTATTGGTTAAACAATTTATTTTTAGGACTAGCAAGTAAAAACTTTAGTTGCAAAATTTGAACGTATTAAATTTAGAATCAGCGGTTAGTCGTTGGTAATATATTGTGAATAGATATACACCACAAGTTTTCTTACGTTTTTAGTTTTGGTATAAAGTTTTCTTACATGTATTTTCATTTGTACATTTCTAAATTTTCTTAGTAAATATGTTTTGATGAAAATATAAATTAGTGATCAAACTATTTCTATTCAAAATCTAGATTATTGGCACCGACGTCCTTTGTGCTTTAAAATGCTTGAAAAGGAAATAGCCTTCATGTTATATGCATTAGCATTTAAAACAATCTATTTCCTTCATCCACAAAGTCTAGCTTTGATTTCTGAATCACTCTTACAAACTGGTGAATCAAATTTTTCTTAAGAGAAAATAACAACAAAAGTCAAAACAAAAACCGAAGAAGAGAGATAGCTCTATACAAACGGACAAAGAGACCAAAGTCAGAAATTTCGACGAATTACATATTTAATTTACTTCCGAAGATGGTTTCAAACTCATAACATCTCATTGCCGGATTCTTGATCGAAGAGAGAGAGAGAAAAAAGATTTGATGCTTCCTCTATTGCTCATAACTCAATATATTGATAGGTAGACCCAATTGTTTTAATTGTTAAACTTCAAATCAGTCGTGCTCGTTGAACCCTACAAGCAATTATCACAACAATAGCAACCAAAAACAAAACATTATATAAGAGATGTAAGTTTGTTAGTTTGCGACTGATTTAAAACCGATTTTTTGGATAAAGAGAACTAACCCCAACAGTGGTGATAAAGTTACAAACGGCACATTTCACTGATCTTGCTCCATATTGGTACATTAGTAGCATCTTGCAGTTTCCGCAATTCACATGCGCTACTTGGTTCGCTGATTACATTTGCAAGACATGAAAGTTAGTAATACTAATACACATAAACTAAACTAGACCTTTAAAAAAAAATAAAAAAATAAAAACAAAATTCGGTAATAATTGGTTTTATTTTATATCCCAAAACCGAAACTAAACTAGAACCACATGTAAACAAAATCAGTGTTGTTTTATCGTAAAAAAAACAAAAGTAAATATAATTTATTTATAAAGAATAAACACATATAAAATTAACTAGAACATATAATATAATATTTTGTCCTACTGTGAAATATAATTTGGGTTTAATCCGTATAATACATATTGTTGATAAACGACAAATGTAATAAATTTTTAATATAGGTTTTTTTTTATATGTTTATTATATTCCCTAAACCAGAAACCAAAAAAAAAAAAACAATCAATAAAAATCTGATTAAACACCAAATATAATTATCAATATGCATGTATTTCTAATGAAACCTTCGAGGGCAAGATTAACAGTGTGACAACATGAACATTGAACACTTGTAGCTCCACGAATGTACATTAGAAGTGTATGACATCCTCCACATACCAACTGTGCCATCTCCGTTCCTGCATTGCCCAATCAATTATTACAAAATTCAAAGATCTCTTTAACCAAACGTTTTTTATGATTTAACGGATTATTACCCGGCGGAGGAACGGCGGTGACGGCGTTACAGACGGCGCAACAGACGGAGGTTGCTCCGACTGGGTACATCAGAAGGTTTCTGCAACCTGAACACACTAACTGGCTCTGCCCACTTGTACTTCCTACAAATCTCAAATTGTTTATTTATATTTTGGCAAAAAATAAAATAAAATTTAATGGATTATTGAATATATGTGGAACAAATAAATGGGTTTCTGGGAAAATAATTGATCAATATGCGGAACAATTTCTTCCCATGAAAAGTAAACAAATTGAGAATCTGAAAATATTTGATTCTTTAGAAAAATCGATGAACAAAAACAATCTTGTTTAATAAAGTAAAAAATCCATAATGTTTTTAATTCTTTTACAAAAAATTCTAAAGCTTTTGTCAAAGAATATGAAAACAGAGGATCTTTTTGGATTAAAATTTGTTTTTCAATTGAAGAATGATTTTACCATTAGCCGGAGGAGGAGTGTACGACGGGGCAAGTCCCGGTGCCGGAGGTGTTGGATATGGTGCAAGAGGGACTGGCATTATTAACTCCAAGAATAATTGCAAAAAGTTTTTGGATAAATCTCTTCTCTCTAATAATGGCTTGCTTTCTCTCTTTGTTGATGTTTTTAGTGACCTAGAAGAAGAAGACACATCTTGTGTTCTTCACTTCTTCTCCCAATTCCTCACTTTCATCAAATCTATACAAGCACACAGAAAAATGATAACAAAAAAGAAAATAAATCTAACAATTTTTCTTTGAAAGGAAATATATTAATTTTTAAGGGGGAAATAAATCTTAACTTTTTTAGAAAATGAAGATAAGTCTTAACTATTTATAAAAGGAAAAAAATTTCAATGTTTGAAAGTTAAGAAACATGTGAAGACTAACTTTGGGGTCACACCATTGCCATGAAGCTCTTTGACTAGAGACTAATTGTGGAATCTCGTTTTGATATATTTTTTGCAGTTACATAACGTTTGGGTGTGTATGTATATGTATATGTATATGTGTATGTATTGGGACTTGGAAAAAAGGAATGTGAATTGCGAAAACTTCGAAGATTGTAGTATTATGACATTATGTGAGGAGTGGGGCAAACACACACCCTCTTTTGCAACTTGCCTTTATCACTTAAATAGAGAGTATATTAACGAAAAATTGAAAAGAAAAAAAAAACCTATGAAGAGATACAAAAAAACAAGGATAAAGAAGAACAAAAAATTGAAATGGAGAATCTGTACACTAGGAAAAGAGGCAAATTTCTTGTAAAAGGTTAATTACTTTTTTACTTATAATAATGAATATTTCATTAATATTGATGTGAATTTATTTTATACTTAAATTTTGTTGTAGACAAAAAGATTTACAGAAATCAAATTTAAACTATAAAAATGATGTATTATTGTAACTTAATCATTTATATGTAGTATAGTTTTATCTTTTATGTGAATGTAGAATCGGTCTTCTAGGCATGTTTATTATACAATTATACAATTAAATTATAAGGGATCCACTTAAACTAAACAAATTTAGTAGATGAAAAACAAATATTAGAAGAATAAGAAAAATAAACAATTTTAACTTATTTATTAATCATTGCTAGAAGCAAATTGTAATATTATTGTTAAAAGATTATGAATTAAATTTTTTATAAGAAAATAACTAATTTCTTAGAGTTTTCACACATTAAAAATTTAATTTTAATTAAATGAATCATTTTTTGTACTAAACAACTACCTATAACTCTAAACCAATAGTAATTTTATAAATTCATTTTTTCATTCAATATTTTTAAAGTCAACGATTTGTTATTACTAAATTTTTAAAAATACATAGAAAAACTTAAAAAAATCTATCTTTAAGAACAAAAAAAAATCTGGAAACTCTATTTTTTAGAATCAGGGGAAGTATTTTTTTATAAAAAAATTCACGATCTAAACGTGAGTTGTCTTTTAATTTTGACGATATCCTGAAAATTTAAGTATCGGTTTTAATGCATGTTATTGATCCCACAAAAATGGGACTCTTACATGTATATGCATATGTAACGATGATGTTTTAATTTAATATACTATAAACGCTGATCGCTAGTCGACAAAAAGTGAGCACCGAAGACGACATAGTAAACGATCCGATCAAATTAATTCAACTTTTTTCACTATCATATTCAATATTTTTTCTCTATCAAATTCATCACATTTGTTTAAACTTTTTCATATAAGAAATAGGTATGCTAAGTTTAAAACTTAATTAAAAAATGTGTGCCATTAATCCAATTATCAAAGGCCAGACTAAGGCAACAAATAAAATAAAACTTACTATGGGTCATAGCACACAGGAAATTCAGTTACCCAATCAATGGAAATTTAGTTTCTCTCTCTTTTGTTGTACCAAACCGACAATTTATTGTTTGGCAGTTCATTCAATTCTTTAGGCTAAATCATAAACGTGAACTTTTATGTGCATATACACATAAGAAAGATATAAAAATGGGTAAGGGTTAACAATAAGTGTGATTATTTGGTTGGATATCATATCAAGAACAGCTTTAGTTTTGGTTTGTTTAATTATTTGATGGGGCCAATTTCTATTATGTTTATGATTCTTCCTTTTTGTAACATTTCTGTTTTCTACTTTTCTCATTCGTCTTTTATTTTTTTGTTATGTCAACTACACTTCACATGTGACATGGTGTGAGTCACGATCTCCATCGTAAAATCTTCTTTTGTTTTGTTATAGATTGTATATAATATTATAGTAATGATATTTATATCAAGTAAATTAGCCGAACCAAAAAAATATATCAAAATTTACATAACTTTTTCCTTACATCTAAGATGTGATCTCCTATTAAGTTTTAATCCTTAATCACTCTTGCCACAAAATATATGACAAATCATTACAATAGAAGTGTATCAAACCTCAACGAACAAATCATTAACACATTATGAATACATGAAATCATTAAATCTAAGCTAATAAAGATTTGTTTTGGTTTTCATCGAATTAAAGAACAAAGCGGGAAATAATTTTAAGCTATAGATAAAGAAAAAATCCTTGGGCCTAGATTAGGGTAATTATTAATTAATGCAAAATGTTTTATCAATCTAACAATGTTAATCCATTAGTTTTAGAATATCAATGTAAAGTTGTAAACTAGTTCACTTTCATGGCACTAATCCTACGTTAATTATGCAATTAAAAAAGACTTTTATCAGTAATAATAAAACTAACCTGCGTTAATTTCTAGGAACTATTGTTGTTTGAGCCTTTTATGGACTAAATCTTTGAGAAATTGAACATTTTTCAGTGATTATAAATTTAGGTCTTTTCAGAGATGGAGAAGTGACTATTTTACATCTTCCCTATGTATCTTCCTTCATTCTTCTCCCGACCACAACCCTTACTTTCTCAACCATAACCCTCACTTCTCACCGTCGTGCTCCATCAACACCATCTCTGTCACTTTCAACACCAACTCCTTCACCTCCGAAAGACAAAATCTCTCCGCCGCCAACACCATCTCCTCTTGTCGAAGATTGTAACAGAAGAAGTTGATTGTGATTCAAAAGGCGTATAAGTGAATCTAAGAAGTCAAATAGAGAATTTGAATTTCTGTAAAAGGATGATTAATTTGATGAAGTTTCTACTCTCATCAAACTCCGTTCATACTCATCCATGATGCATTGTGTTACAGAGAACAAAATGAAGTAAAACGGGTATTCTCTCTCCAGTAGAGATTTTCACTTCCCTCTACCTAAATTTTGTTTAACTCAATATTTGGCTCTACTAACATTTGGTTGAATCAATATTTACAAATGAACCAAATAGAATATTTTAGTGGATTCAGATTTTTTTCTCTCTAATTATTTATTATGCACAATCAATAATGAAAATACATTTTCAATCTAATGTTAACAAAAACTACTAAATTTGTGTAATAAACTTAAATTTGAGGACAAGCTCCAAGTCGAGGAGGAGAGTAATGATATGGTTATTGGTGTTTTATTAAAATTATTATTATGCTTTTGCTAATTTCCTTTTAATTTAGGAATAGGTCGGTTTGTAAGGTCTATATAAAGGACTCTGATCATCAATAAGAAACAACTTTCAACAATTAACCTAATTCCCTAAGAGAGACTGGAGTTAAAGGAAGCTAGCTTTATCGTTTTCATTCTTAAACATCACGGATTCAAAGTATTTAGGTCCTCTTAATCGAGCTAAGACAAAGAAAGCTTTGGCTCGTATCATTAGATTTGTGTGTTTTTAACTCGGAAAGTTTTTTAAAGTCTCTTGAAGTTATTAAGAATCCAATGCTTAAAACGTTTTCAACAACAATGAATTTTAAAGCACTTTTTCAAATCACTAGTTCAATTCAATATTACTAAATTTTAGAAGACTTTTTTAAATTCATAATTTAATAACAAATAATTTGTTGAAACAAATTAAAATGTTGGATTGAATACACCTCCTAAAAAAATTAAATTTAAAAAGCTAAAAAGAAGGAAAATCATTTGGATCCAACATAAAAAATCCAAAAGTTGGCTGGATAAAACCATAACTAGTGCCTAAATATCTCTACACAAAAAGACAATGTATATTGGAAAAGAAAACATTATCATAGTAAAAATAATACATGTGACAATAAGTGATTTGATATAATTAGAAAAATAACATTGAAATTTATAGAGTAATATAAAGTGATGAAACATCAAAAACATTTGAATTGAATATAGTTTATTCAGAATAATTAATATGAGACGTTGAAACTTGATTTTAATGGATTACTAAAATGTTTTAAAAAAAAAACTGATTTTAATAGAGGCTACTACCATTTAAAATTTACTAGTTCAATTTTTAATATTTGCATAGCTAGCATATAATGGATTTAGAAGAATGAAAATATGAAAGTTTGAAGAATGTTATGAATAAGAAAACGAAACACTATGACATTCATTACCATTATAAACAAATTCTCTGTTTCGAAAGGAGGCAATATGGGTATGAGATGTGACAAACTGACAAAATGGTCGATTTTCTTAGGGAACAAAAGATTTGAGGTCGCAATAGAAAATCCAAACATCTTGTTCAAAGAAATTGTAAAAGACAGTTCAACTGAAGATGCCAGTTCCAGAAGCAAGCAAACACAATAGAATTTCTCAATCTCATTCTATCATAACCACTAAGCCAATACATGTATGTATGCATCTATGTATGTGTGTATGCCCATCTATGTGTGTGGGATTTGGAGGAATGAGAGAGAAAGAATAAAAGGACAAAGGAAAGAGTCATGTTAGAACATTTTGGACATTGACGTCTCTAGAGACGCTTGGATAGCCATTAAAGTGCGGCTATGGAGTTGTCCACGTCTTACTTCAAACTGTGATGGCTCAGCTTAAGAAGATGCATACAAAAACCTCTTTTGTTTTCATTCGTTTTTCCTTATATGAGAATGTGGTAAATTCTATAAATGCAACACAAGCTATGGAGAATAATTACAAATGGAAGAAGCACACTATTTGTTCACTATTGTTACTCTACATTAAAAAGTTATATATATATAAAAAAAAACTCGACATCCAAAACGCAAATGGTAAATCACCCAAACGAACAACATTTACGTACCACTGCGCATCCAAACGTATATCACCAAATTCTAAGAGCCCATGCCATGCCAAAACAAAGTTGCGACAATAATTCAAATCCATAGTCATAGATTAGGGTTTCTAGATTAGATAAGCATCAAAAGGATCACATAATAAACTAAACTGAATTAAATGTTTATATCAAAACCAAACCAAGATTTTTTCTATAAAAAAAAACCAAACCAAGATTTGCTTCTCAACCAATTGGTTTTAAAAAAACAACGAATTTGAAACTAACTTTAATGTAATCGAACTAAAGTAAATGAGCTAAATAGCAAATATAATCATAGTGTACATTTTAATTTATTAATACAATAGAGTTATTAGTTCAATCATTATATTTCTATATTATAAAGTTAATTTTTCTGACTAAAACCGAACCGAATCAAAGCCATAATCAAACTGAACCATACTAATATTTTTCCAATTTCTATATAACCGATAACAGTGAACCAAAACCAAACAAATAGACCGGATTTTCTACCCATATACCCGGAAATAATATCAATTAAAACGCTGTCGTTCAATCTCGTATATATGGGCCAAAACAAACCCATATCATATAATGGGCCCAAAGCCCATAAATATATTCTCTGGCGCCGCCAGAAATGGAAGAAACCGAAACAAAACTTTCTCTTTCTCTCTCGCATAACCTTTTCGCCGAAACTCATCTTCTTCTCAGCCGAGACAATTCAGCCACCACCGATCAGTGAGTTCTTCGTATTCCTCCTCCGTCTCAATCATCGAATCTCTGTTTATATCAAATCATTCATTTTTCGTTAAATTAATTCCATTTCTTCAAAACCATGTTTTTTGTTTGGTAAAGTTTTGATTTTTATCTGACTCTGTTTCAATCTCTCTTTCAGATTTTCAGAGATGGGTTGTACTGTGAGGGAGAAGCATGTAAAACCGAACCGGAGGATCCGAACCGCTGCTTTTAGATCCGACCCACCGTTATGTTTCATCGAGAAGATTGCTCTATCGCAATCAATTGTTGAGTCAAGTCTCAAAAACCTTGTTTATCATCCAGGTGTTACTGATTCTGGCTCTGTCAATTCGAATTCTGGTTGCGAGAATTTGGAGGAGAATCTTTGGGGTTATTGTACAGAGGAGCATTTGGAAGAGATTTTGCTGAAACATTTGGAGTTTTTGTATAATCAAGCTGTTTCGAAGCTTCTCGAATTGGGTTATGAGGAACGTGTGGCGATTAAAGCGGTTTTGAGTAATGGACACTGTTATGGTGAATTGGATGTTTTGACAAATATAGTGAATAATTCATTATCTTATTTGAATAGCAGTAGCAGTGGAGGCGGATGTGGCGGTGGTAGTAATAAAGGGAATAATGAGGATCATTCGGAGACTGGTTTTACGGATTTGAGAGATTTGGAGGAGTATTCGCTTGCGGGTATGATTTACTTGTTGCAACAAGTTAAGCCTAATTTGAGTAAAGGTGATGCAATGTGGTGTTTGTTAATGAGTGAGCTACATGTTGGTAGGGCAAGTACTATGGATGTCCCAACGAATAGGTCTAGTTGTACTAAGGAAGATAGCAATGTAGAAGATGTTGGTAGTGGTACACTAGATATTGCTGGTTTTATGGCACCAGCATTGTGTCGATTCCATGGAGGTTGGGATTTTGGGAATGGGGGAGGACCTGAGTTTTCTGGTAACGGGTTTTCTATGAACGGTGCTGAGTTAAAACTGCAGAGAGAGATTGATTGTCCGAAGAGGTTTAATCTTTCGCCATCCATGAAATCCTTGTTGAATCGGAATGTTGCAGCGGTTGCTGCTGGGTATCGTGCTAGTATGAAGCAGAAACAGTCTGAAACTAGTGGTGATAGCTTATCTTGTAATCCTGCGCGTGTGGAGGCTTGTGAGCAGCAGCCACGTAAGTCAGGGAGTGAAGAAAGTGTTAGTTCGGTGTTGGAGAAATTTCGTGATCTGAACCTTGATGATAATTTGGAATCGGTGGGTAAGGATGATAAGGATTGTGTGATAGTCAATCTGCTTCATCAGGTTAAGGATCTCGAGAAGAAACTAAAGGAAAGGAAAGACTGGGCTCAGAAGAAGGCAATGCAAGCTGCTCAAAAGGTCAGCGAGGAATTGGCCGAGCTTAAATCATTGAGTAATGAAAGAGAAGGAATCCAACTGCTGAAAAAGGGGAAACAAGCTGTTGAAGAATCAACTGTGAAAAGATTATCCGACAAGGAAAATGAACTTAGAAAAGCTAGTGGTCAAAACGACAGGGCCAATGCGATTGTAAGAAAGCTTGAGAATCAAAATGCAGAAATTCGAGCAGAGCGGGAGGGATCCAAATTAAGTGCATCAGAATCGCTTAAAGCGTGTATGGAAGCCTCAAAGAAGGAGAAAAAATGCTTGAAGAAGCTTGTGGCATGGGAGAAACAGAAATTGAAGTTGCAGGATGATATCACAGCTGAAAAAGAAAATATAAAGGCCCTTTATAGGACTTTAGCTCAGATCACACAGGATGAAAAGGAAATTGAGGTACGTTGGTTCATATTATATTTATTTATACCGTGAAAGTTCTCTAGATCCTCACTACTTTTAACTCTAAAATTGTGGGAAGTACATTTCTTAGGATGCAAATATTTACACACGTATCATTTGAGTCACACATCTAGTTGCGAAGTTGGTCTTGTCTTAGATGGTAGTATGCCATTAAACTTCAAAGATCATTCAAGAGGTATAGTCGGCGTCTGCCACTTTTTTTGCTAGGGTATATGGACCTGGATTTTATATGAATGTCATCTTGGAGAACCAGTTTTGAGTTGTAGACTCAAAAATGATTTGTTATACCTATTGATAAGTTCCACTGGATAGCTTTTTCTCTCTACACAGTGGTCTATATTTCTTTTCGTTCCTGAGGTTTTACCTTTTTGCGGGTACGTATCCATCTTGCTGCGCATTGTGTTCAAAATCTTGCTGTAGATTTGTTTGCTTAGACTGTGGTGGATGACTGATAATCGAAATATTAATTTTCTTTGCCTCAATTAAACATGGAATGGTTAGTCTATCGACTTCTTTTTATATTTCCGTTTCATATGTTATCCGCAGGCGAAATGGAGGCAAGAGCAGAAAGCAAAGGAGGAGGCTCTGGCTCAAATGGAGGAAGAACAACGCTCAAAAGAAGCAGCCGAGGGTCACAACAAGAGAAAGCTCGAGACTCTACGGTTAAAAATCGAACTAGACTTCCAAAGACACAAAGACGATCACCAAAGACTAGAGCAAGAACTCTCTCGACTCAAAGCCTCTTCAGATACCGAACCAAGCCACTTATCCAACAACGCTTGGAAACCCGAAAAATCTCAAGGAGAAAACATTGCTAAACTGCTTGAAGAACTTGATAAGCTTGAAGGGTCATATGACAATGAAGCAAACTATGATCGAGAATGCATAATCTGTATGAAAGAAGAAGTCTCTGTGGTGTTTCTTCCTTGTGCGCATCAAGTTGTGTGCGGTAGTTGCAGTGATAGCTTCTTCGCGAGCAACAATGGGGGAACCAAAGTCACTTGTCCTTGTTGCCGAGGTTTGGTTCAGCAGCGAATCCGTATCTTTGGAGCTACCTCATAAAAACCGAAAAAGCTTCTCTTTGGGTTTCAAAGAGATCATCACAACTTCAGGTTTTTTACTTTGTAAGTACAAAAATAAATGTTTAGCTTCTTCCTCAAAGCTTTTTTATACTCGGGAAATTTGATTTTTTTTTTCGACAAAAGATCTTTGCACGATGTAAAATAACTTATTATCGTGATCAAAACATTTCGAGCTAATCTTATTAAGGATTATCTTGAATTCGATATGGAAGAAACAGGCCTCTTTACCAAATAAAAATCGACTATAGTTTGGTTTGGTTAAAATTATGAGGTTTGGTTTTGGTTTGGGTTTTGTGTATAGACAAAGAAAAGAATTGGTTTTTGGATCTGGTTTTGTTTGGTTAAACCGGATTGGACACTTGTTAGCAAAACCATGACAACCACAAGTTTTTAAAAACCACAATTATTAATGCTTTGCATAGTTTTCTTCTTGTGGGTTTTGTTGTGTGGCCGTTATTTGCAAGAAAATGGCTTCGTGTGCCATCTCAAACACAATTCACACCGTAACCTTCAAGACCTCGAAGAGAATAAGTCCTTACAACGGTCTATTTGATTGGAACTCCGACAAAAAAGTAGACAATCTCCGGCAGCCACAGCAACCGGTCTACCACGGGGACATCCAAATTCCTTTCTCTCTTTCATTGGTAAACAAAACCTTCCTAAAAGGTAAATAAATTTATTCTCTTCTCTCAATCTAAGTCCTTGTAGCAACTTGTGGACTTATATATTCTACCACCAGGAGTCATAGAATCCTTGTGAAGAAGTATATGTCTTATTTTAAATTCGTCGAATTCTGTAACATTCTTTTTGACTAGGAAGAGAATTGAAATGTTGCTACAAGGCAAGCATTGATGGGTTTAGTGCAACAAAGTTCCACGAGCGTTGTGATTTCAAAGGTCCATGTGTTATCATAGCTTACACAAAAGACAAGTCTTTCAAGTTTGGTGGATTTAGCCCAGAAGGCTATAGAAGTACTGATGATTACTACGATACATTTGATGCTTTCCTCTTCTATTGGCTCGACGATTGCGATGACCCTATCGTCCTTTCTAAGGTTGGAGGAAGTGGAGCGGCTCTATTTGATTATGCACGTGGAGGGCCTCAATTTGGAGCTGACGGGCTTCTTATCGGACCGCCTTTAGCTCCCGTGATGGGCGGATTTGCGGGTCCAGATACGAACTCGGGGATTGGTGATTTAAGGATGGCTAAATCAAGATTGGGTTTGTCTTATGCTAAGAGGAAAGATGGGAAAGAATCTATCTTTGGAGATGAAAATAAGGTTAGTCTTGATGATGTATTGGTCTTTTGTAGCCCTTATATTGCTTCTTTGTATTAAATCACAAAACCAATCTCATCAAATTCAAATAAAGTATCCAATTATTCATTTTTATTTATGTAATTAGTAGATATACAACATTGATTATACATACTTTTGAGACCTAAAAAGTCTATGAAAAGTGTATTTATAACTACTAGTTGATAGTGGAGAATCTTGTAGTTTTAAATTACATAATATGCAACTATACTATATGATTATACACAAACAAAACTATATACTAAATAAATGGGATTATAGTTAGATCATGATCCATCTGGAGACTGGAGTGTTTGGTTTTGAGATTAGTGAATGTTTTTCTTTACCCAAGAATGTGATAGTTCATGACTTCATTGTTCATATGAGCTTCTGGATGATAATCAAACATGAATGGATTCTCCATTTCCCAGTCGAAATTCAAATCTGCGGAGAACTCTGATGGATATTCGAATTCGGGGAGTGCAAATACTTGGGAACAAGAATCTACTTCTGTTTGTGATTGTGAGCTTCCCTGCAAAAAAAGTTGTAATGAAGTTTGAGACACAGTGACATTGATTAACGAATGAGACTTTATCAGAGTTGGGATTTAATTAGTTAAACCTGAAAAAATGATTCAAGGATGAAATCAGGTGAAGACCAGAGTGTGTTACTTGCATCACAAGAACTCTTTTCTAGGTCACTTGCTTGACAAAATATCTTAACATTGTTGCTCAATAGATCATCTGAAACCTCTGGTGAGTTGGTTTCAGATTTCTTACGCGTATGCTCATTCCTTTTTATCACACGACACAGCGCAAAGTCTCCCTATAGAGCGGAAGAATACCAAATGAAAATGATTAATTTGTATGGTGAACTATGAATAAAGTTTTTTTCTTTTTCTTTCCATCTTTTTGGTTTATGATGTTATTACCTTAAAATTTAGTGATCCTTGTGAAGTATCGTTGTCGAAGAGGCGATACTCATGCATTACCCACTCGGTTCTACCACCAAAAGGGGCTCGACCCATATAAAAAACTAGGGTTTTTCGGCACCCGGTGACAGAGGAAGAAGAAGAAGAAGAGTGACAAACGATTTTTCGATCTTTGCCTGTGGCTTTCCAGTATCCAGATTTAGTTGCTCTATTTATGCGAGATCCGTTCTGATATTTTCTGTCACGATGACAGAAGAAAAACCATTCCATATCTCGATTCGGCAAGAAGGATTTCTCTGTAATCAACAAGATCTTAAATATTTTTTATATTGTAGATTGGAAAAAATTGATCTTTTTCAGTCAGAGAAATTCAAGAAGCAACATACCTGGAAGTTCCCAAGGATCAAACTTGTATAAATCCATTAATGGAATGATTTCGAGCTCGATCTCAAGACCTTCGTTTCTTCTGTGCAGGTAATAACCAACAAGTTCTTCATCTGTTGGATGAAATCTGAAACCAGGTGGTAAATATGATCCCACCATCGTCTATATCTATAATTTCTTTAAATGATTCACTTTCTTGTCGAAAACAATGTGAAACTTCCACAAAACAAAAACCCTAAGTCCTATTGTTGTGTTTCTTAAAGCTCAAGGAATAGTAACAAAAACAGAGTATATGATATCAGAAACCGAGGAAAACAAGACAACCAAATTTATTTGTGCTACGAGATTTAAAATTCTCTCTTTAATAAAAAGTTAAAAGAAAACTAAATATTGAAGTTTGGAAGTTGTTGATGCTGAAACTTAAGAGGAAGAGTGAAAAATGTAAGTTTGGACCGTTTGGTAGGGATTATAGATATATAGCAGATGATTAAAACTTAAAAGGTTTAAAGGTTGATTAAAGTGTTAACACAAACTTAAATAAACTAGTGTTCTAAATATTAGTATAGTATTTTTACATTTAAAATAATACAGACCGAAAGTTTAAAAGATTACTTACTTGTCTGAACGTCCCACAAATTCCACAACAATGGCCCACCTGAACCAAAAAGCTTTCACACTCAGAGACTTGAAAACGTATTGCCGTCTGTAATTTATGTCTACAGACACCTTGTCGTTTCTATGACCCATACCAATATAGTTCCTTCATGGCTTCATGTAGTTGACTCGATGTCAATTAAAAACAAAACCTTCCGTTTTTAGTCTACTTATTTTCGAAATGAATAATCAGTTTGTGCTCAATTTTAAATAATTATTTCTTGCAAAAAGAATTAATAATTAAAGTTCAGTTTTAATTACGTCTAATAAGGTTGTAGAATTCTTGTTTATAATATTAACATAAATAGTTTCATTACAAAGATGTGTTTTAAAAGAATTAAGTTTATATTTTGCAATTTATCAATAATGACTGACTTATAAAAACTTGAACTGAAAATGTGAACATGAGTCCGAACACGAGTCAATTAGCTTTCCTTCCACCTCAGAGTGACTTGGAAAATCTATTTAATGAACAACTTTTCATTGATTAAGCAAAACAATTGCCTATGTGATCAAATAAATCTCCATTAACTAAAACCTTTAAAGTGTTAAATTATTTCTTCTACCGCGTTATCACTTTTAGGGACACGACAAAACACTAGTAGTTTCACATTAATTATTCTTTTTTGTTTCCTCCATAAATTGTTCTTAGATGTAAAGGTAGTTTCTTCACCTAATGGACATCTCTATCTACAATGACAAAAATACGAAAATTGAACCCATTATTTAATTCAAGGGAACTATTTTATTCAAAAACACAGAAATCCACACACTTAATCCGATTAATCATATAGTGTAAAGAAAAATAAGAACATTAACTCAACTAATCCACATACGTTTATATTGTTATCTTTTCATTAAAGCAAAACAAAAATTCACAAAAAAAAAAGAACCTAAAATATTAACAAGAATTGAAATAATAAAAATACAACACAATAATTAATATAAAAATGTGAGCAAAGATTGTTTACATATGTGATATGATGCGGTTCAGTACGAATTGATAAATTTTTTTTCTAAAACCTTAAGTTTCTGTTTTCCTTTTCAAAGATTTTTGGAAATAATTATGTAATCGATATCAATAAAGAAGAAAAGGAAATAGATATAATCAGGCCGGTCGTAAGTTAAAATGAGTCTTATCATACAACTATACAAGCCCATTAGCCCAAACTAAACAAGATTACAAATACAAATAAAATAGAGACGAAACAGAAAAAGAAGAGAGACAAGGAAAAAAAAAAAACTCTATTGGAGAAAGTACTTGTCGGATCGCTGCGAAAAGCAAAGAGAGAGAGAGAAGAAGAGACGAAGAGAATCCATTAATGGCGGCTGCCACAGTTCTCGGTCGCTTATCACTGATACCAAATCTATCTTCTAAACCAAAATTGAAATCAAACAGAAGAACAACTTCTACAAGTGTTTCTATACGAGCACAAGCTTCGTTCTCTGACCCTTTTGTACTTCAATTAGCTGAATCACTCGAAGATTCTCTCTCAGCTTCTCCTTCTTCGTCTTCTTTACCTCTCCAAAGAATCCGTGATTCTTCCGCTGAGACTCTTTTATCTACGCCATGGCCATCACGAAAAGACGAACCTTTTCGATTCACCGATACATCTTTCATCCGATTTTCTCAAATCGAACCCGTTTCGACCCATCAACGAAATTCTGAAATTTTGGATAATCTGACGGAAACCCAGTTCCCAAACGCTGTGATTATTGATGGGTTCGTGTCGAGTTTGACGATTGGTCCATCGGATTTGCCCGATGGGGTTTACTTCGGGAGCTTCTCTGGTTTACCGGATGAGTTAACGAACCGGGTTTCTGAATTCATAGGGAATTTCGATTCTGGTGATTTGTTTTGGTCGATTAATGGTATGGGAGCACCGGATTTGGTGGTGATTTATGTTCCTGAAGGATGTAAGGTTGAGAATCCGATCTATTTGAGGTACTTTTGTGGTGAAACTGGTGACCGGGAATCGAAACGGTTACCGGTATCGAATCCTAGGGTTTTTGTGTTAGTTGAGGAAGGAGGAGAGATTGGTATAGTTGAGGAATTTGTTGGTAAAGATGAAGAAGGGTTTTATTGGACGAATCCGGTTTTGGAAGTTGTTGTTCAAAAGAATGGGAAATTGAAGCATTCATATTTGCAGAAAGAATCCATGGCTTCTGCTCATGTCAAGTGGACTTTCGTCCGACAGGTTCCATCTTTGCTCATTCTCTTCTTTTCTTTCAAGTAACAAATTGGTTTAGTTTAGTGTAGAAACAAATACTATTGAAAATCTTAGTTTACTTTGAGGTTGGTTTTATTATACTCTTGTAGTTAAAATTGCTAATAGCTTATATTAGTGTTTGAATCTTATTGCTGAATGTTTCAGTAGAGTGTCTTAGATTAGTTTTGCTGCTGGAGTTGGAGAAAGTTGTAACCTTTATGATTGAATTGTTGATGAGGATGAATAGTTTAGTTTCAGCCTCATGTGAGTTTTGATTTTTTCATAGCTTAGGATGTTTTGGTATGGCTTCGGAATGTTTTATGCTGAATTGTTCATGTGGTGATCACTGTAGGAGGCGGAGAGTGAATATGAGCTTGTGGAAGTGAGTACTGGTGGGAAATTGGGGAGGCACAATGTTCATGTGCAGCAGCTTGGGCCTGATACGCTCACTGAGTTAACCACGTTTCATATGTGTGTCAACGAGCAGACTCTTGATCTCCATAGCAAAATTGTCTTAGACCATCCACGAGGCTCTTCGCGACAGCTTCACAAGTGTATTGTTGCTCATTCCTCTGGTCAAGCTGTTTTCGATGGCAATGTCCGAGTTAACAGGTAAGCTTTCTCTTTCTCTCTATGCCCAATCTGCTTTTCAGTTTGGTTATGATTTTCCGGTCATTGGTTTGGTGTGCTTAGCATTGGTTTAAATTCTTTGTGGTAATATGCAGATTAGCTCAACAGACCAACGCGCGGCAACTAACACGGAGCCTCCTTCTGAAACCCCGAGCCACGGTGAACATAAAACCGAATCTTCAGATCATTGCAGACGATGTCAAATGCTCGCATGGAGCTGCTATCAGTGACCTCGAAGAAGACCAGCTCTTCTATTTCCAAGCTCGTGGGATCGACTTGGAGACTGCAAGAAGAGCTCTCATATCGTCATTTGGATCGGAGGTTATCGAGAAGTTTCCAAATCGGGAAATCCGAGACCAAGCCAGGAATCATGTCAAAGGCTTGCTCTGATGTGCTTCACATAAAGCGATAATCCAAAATCGATCGCGTGGTACTCACGCGCCGGTATTGCTATTACGATTCATCAATTTATCTTCTGTTCATTACTGTTAAAAGGCTTGCGAGGCCCATCTAGTCCAGTTTGGCCGATATAATTAATTAAAAATTAAGAAGAACAACAAACAGTTGGCTTCTATATGAGTTAAATAGCGTGCAGTTCTATTTTAAATTTTATAAAAGGTTTCTATTGGCATCTGTATAAGTAAAACGACGCGATTTTTATGGATTTAAGTGAAACTTGAAAACAACACGCTTTTTATTTGAAATCTGATAAACAACAAACACTTGGTTTTATACCGCCTCTCTTTCATCAACATCGGAGACTCTCACCGCCTTTTCTCTCCACCGTCGCCGGTGTAACTACTTCGATAGATTTCACCTTATATATTCTCGCGCCTACCGGTAGCTTCGAAAACAGAGATCCTCACTCTCGAAATCTTCTTACTCTGTAAGCTTCGAGAAACCTAAACCTTACCGAAATCTAGGGTTTGTTCCGTTACTTTCGATTCTATCTGAGAGATTGTTGCGTACGGTCGATTTGCTAGCTAAAAGAATTCAAGCTGCGAAGTGAATTTTAAAATTGAGGATCTTGTGGTTAGATACTTTCACGAATTAGTGTTTCGATTGGTATGGCAATGAAATACTTTGAAATTGGTTTAGATATGGATTTTGATGTGAAACTGTTGGTGTTGTTTTTGTTATTCAAATGCAGTGAGAATGGCGAGCAATGATTTAAAGACATGGGTTTCGGATAAGCTGATGGTGCTACTTGGCTATTCTCAAGCAGCTGTTGTTAACTATCTCATTGCAATGGGTAATTTGATGTTTCGATTTTGAATCATAGAGCTTATGAAGAACTTTTGCTTTACTGTCCCAAAAATTTAACATATGGGGTTATTATCTTTGTGCAGCTAAAAAAACAAAATCACCAACTGAACTTGTGGGGGAGTTGGTGGATTACGGGTTTTCGTCTTCTGGTGATACTCGTTCGTTTGCGGAAGAAATTTTTGCCAGAGTTCCCCGTAAAAGTACTGGTGTGAATGTAAGTTTGCGTAAACTTTATCACTCTTGTGTTTTCTCTTTTGAAGGTTTTGGAGCTAGATGCTTTACTAGTTTCTGTTTCTAAGAGAAGTATGTATGGAATATATAAGTTTAGCTGTAGTTTTGGTTGGTTTTCTTAATTTATTTTACTCCTCTATCAGCTCTACCAACAACATGAAGCAGAGGCAGCGATGCTAGTGAGGAAGCAAAAAACATATGCTCTTTTAGACGCAGATGATGATGAAGACGAAGTCGTTGTGGAGAAAAAATCTTCAGTTTCTGAATCTAGAAAATCAGATAAGGGCAAGAAAAGATTTAGAAAGAAAAGTGGGCAGTCAGATGAAAGTGATGGCGAGGTATAGTTTCTTTTCCTCATTGACAGATTCCAATTTCTTTTTTTCTTAATGGTAAGATATAGCTTGGCATCTGATCTGATAAAAATGTGAACATATATGTAGGTGGCCGTTAGAGAGGACAGTAGACACGTTAGAAGAAAGGTTCCTGAAGAAGAGGATGATGGTTCTGAGGTATATCTGGACTCTCTTAGGGTGTTTGCATTTGAACTATTTTCTGGGTCCTTGTCTTTTGTTATGGAAATCCAATAACTAGGAGATGTTCTATAGATATATGTAGATAACACTTGTGCTTTTATAATATTCTTCGTTCTTGTCCACTCGGCACAGTCAGAAGAGGAAAGAGTGCGTGACCAAAAGGAGAGAGAAGAACTGGAACAGCATTTAAAAGATCGTGATACTGCACGGACACGAAAGGTATGCCTCAATCTGATCTTGATATGTTTTTCCTGTTTTGTGCTCTGAATAGGTCCCGTTTTTGTAACTAACCAGGGGCTAAGTATTGTCGGCAATTATGTACAAGTTATTAATGAATGAGTTTTCTCGTAATTCATAACTGACAAATCTAGAGTAGGGAAGATGAATTAAGCAAAAACATTCACATTCATATGTCATCTAATCTTGTATGCTAAGACGATTTCTCTAACCAAGCGAGAAGTATATAGTTAGCATGGTTGACTTATTATTGTTATCAATGTTATTGTACATGTGAGTTAATGACATGTTCTTTTCGTTTGTTTACTGATCAGCTAACAGAGCAAAAGTTGTCAAAGAAAGAGCAAGGTACAATCTGTTATAATTCGTGCATGGATGTATATTAACATTTCTATGATACATTGTGATCTAGACATAAGTCTTATTTGCCAGATAGTCTCATTTTGGTTTTATGTTTTATTGCAAAACAGAAGAGGTTGTTCGAAGAGCAAATGCTTTGGAGAAGGATGATTTATATTCCTTAAGGTATTAAACTTTTTCCTCCTTTATTTGTTTTCGATAATGGTTTTTTGACAGTGATTTTAGGTAATTAAGTTTAGTTGCTTAGCATGATTGACAAGAACAGTAGTCAACAATGTACCTGGGTGTTGTATGTTAAATCCCACCATTAAAATACTATATGATGTTGCAAACTTGACTTCCAGTTAACAATTCTTGACTATGTCAATCATCTCCTTGTTAAGTACTCTTGAGGGTGTTCTTACTTGTTGAAATAATCTCTTTGGAGGCTATTTTGTGCTGTCCATGTTATTGATCATCTTTTGGTGGGTCTAATACAGGAAAGTCTCGAGACAAGAATACTTGAAGAAGAGAGAACAGAAGAAACTGGATGAACTAAGGTACATGACATATAGATTTTGCATTTTTCTTTCTTTTATTTATCTCTCTTCTATAATTGATTTCTCCCATTTTTTTCTTTTCTCCATAGGGATGAGATAGAAGATGAACAATATCTTTTTGGAGGTGAAAAGCTCACAGAAACAGAGCTTCGTGAGTTTAGGTAATTGTTACATCTTTCTTGTATCAAGGTGGTTGTTACATCTATTTGATGTAACGTGCTTCTTTTGATGAGTAAAAAACATTTTCAAATGTAATTGCTAGTGCAGTTTTTTATTTTTTCTTTTTGCAATTGAAAAGTTAGATAATTGTATTCATCTTTAAGAAAGTATGTTTACTTATAGTTGATTGATCTCAGGTTGATCTGTTATCTTTGATAGGTACAAGAAAGAGCTTTATGACCTCGTGAAGAAAAGAACACAAGATGAAGATAACGTTGAGGAGGTAATGTTTTCATCTTTCTGGACCCTTCTCCCACCTGGTTCTGTAGAATATCTATATATCTAACGCATCTCCCTTTTACTCCTACCTCTCTGAGTTCAGTATAGAATTCCAGATGCTTATGATCAAGATGGAGGTGTTGATCAGGAGAAGAGGTTTTCTGTTGCTGTACAACGATACAGGTGAGCTGACAAAGAGCGCTTTGCTAGTGATCCAACACATTCTTATCTGGTTGCACTCGCAATATCTATCTTTATTATTTTGTGAAATTCTTTTGGGCGTCCTAAATCATATTTTTTTGTCTAGGGACCTGGATTCAACAGAGAAAATGAATCCATTCGCAGAGCAAGAAGCTTGGGAGGACCATCAGATTGGTAATTTCTTTTTTAACTCTATTTCTTTTGACCTGTCATTTTTTTATTACCGAATGATTTAAGTGAGTTTGTTTACTTGTATGCTAATTTCGTTGACATTGTAATGCAGGAAAAGCAACATTAAAATTTGGTGCAAAGAATAAGCAAGCCTCAGACGATTATCAGTAAGATCTGTTGCATATTTGTTCTTTTATTCTTATTCTACTACTTTGGAATTTGTTTATCTCGTTTGATAAATAATCCTTGCTAGCTCTTAAACATGGATTAGCCCATGATATGGGGTTTCTAAGTGTTTTTGTTTTTTGCAGGTTTGTGTTTGAAGACCAAATAAATTTCATAAAGGAATCTGTCATGGCTGGTGAAAATGTATTATTGCCTATGATGTCTATTAAACCTGATGATACCTTCTGTCATATGTAGAGTTGTAGCTGACCACTTGTATTTGTAATGCAGTATGAAGATGTTATGGATGCAAAACAAAAATCACAAGATTTGGCAGAGAAATCAGCTTTAGAGGAACTTCAGGTGCTATTCTTTTTCTGTTTTTTTCTCCATTACCTTTGTTTGATCAAACTCAACCACCAGATCTTCTTTTTAGGATGTAATTCAGAATAAGTTAAGATAGTATGTTTCTTTGAATTAATATCCGTTGCAAAAACTAAGACTTATCCTGACATGTTCTTGCATCTGTTTATTTATGAATCAGGAAGTCAGAAGAAGTCTGCCGATTTATACGTATCGTGATCAACTGCTTAAGGCTGTCGAAGAGCATCAGGTAATTTAAACTTTCATGCCATTTTTGAAATCAGCTAATAACAGACGAGAAGCTTACTTTACCAAGCCCTATCTAAAACATTATTTTTCGGTTATAGCATTTGAGTATGTGTAACTGATACAAGGTCAATAGAGAAGGAAGTATTTTTAAATAAAAGAAAGCATCAAATTTCTGTGTTATGTGCAAATGAAGATTTAGATTGAAATGTTGATTATGAAATTGTGCATAGCTTTTTCTTTTTTCAGTAAATGGTTTTCTCTGCTATATGTAATTGAAATTTGATACCTTTTTCTTTCAACTTTTTTCATTATATTAGGTTCTTGTCATTGTGGGAGATACTGGTTCAGGAAAGACTACACAAATACCACAATATCTCCATGAAGCTGGTTACACAAAGCGTGGAAAGGTACAACCTACTGCTTGTCCCAAATTGCAGCATATAGTTAAACACACATATTTCCTTCAAAAAGGGACGGTTAGCGTATAAGTTACTAACAAATTGGTGTTATTATTTTAATTGAGAGCTGTTAGCTTACTGAGAACAAACTTAGCCATTTCTTATTTTCCTGTGAAGTTGTCTATTTTTTCTTCAAAAGCTATTTAATTAAAGGTATACTTGGATTAGGAAGAAAGCCATTGTTCATGACCTTTGTGGTTGGATGAGTTCAAAAGAGTAACTGGTAAAGTAGTTACTTTATCAAATAAAGTACCATAATGCTTTTCTATTATATTTCAGGTTGGTTGTACGCAGCCCCGAAGAGTTGCAGCTATGAGTGTTGCTGCCCGTGTGGCTCAAGAGATGGGTGTCAAACTCGGACATGAGGTATGGTGGCTTCTTTTCGTCTTTTGTTGCTGGTAGCTGATTGTTTCACATTGTCGGTTCACTCTCAGAATCTAAACTTCGGTTGGTACTTGTCACAGGTTGGCTATTCCATTCGATTTGAAGATTGTACTTCAGATAAAACAGTTCTGAAGTATATGACTGATGGAATGCTTTTGCGTGAGCTGCTTGGCGAACCAGATCTGGCCAGCTACAGGTAATGAATATTCTTGCACATTTTTTATTACTACTATTGGAAAGCTAAACGTTTTTGTTTACTGATTGCAAAACCTTTCAGTGTCGTTATTGTGGATGAGGCGCATGAAAGGACCTTGTCAACCGATATATTGTTTGGATTAGTTAAGGCAAGTAGATTTTCTCGAACAATGTCTCTTCTTACTTGTGTAACCAGGTTAAATCCTTGGATACATTCTGATTGACTCTTCCTATATATGACAGGATATAGCGCGGTTTCGACCTGATTTGAAGTTGTTGATATCTAGTGCAACAATGGATGCAGAAAAATTTTCTGATTATTTTGACACAGCCCCGATTTTTAGTTTTCCTGGAAGAAGGTTTCCAGTTGAAATCAACTATACAAGTGCACCTGAAGCTGATTACATGGACGCAGCAATAGTTACTGTCCTTACGATCCATGTGAGGGAGCCACTTGGAGATATATTGGTCTTCTTCACTGGTCAAGAGGAAATTGAAACTGCAGAAGAGATCTTGAAGCACAGGATAAGAGGTTTGGGTACAAAGATCCGCGAATTAATCATATGCCCGATTTACGCAAATCTTCCAAGCGAACTCCAAGCAAAAATATTTGAGCCAACTCCAGAAGGGGCCCGGAAAGTTGTCCTAGCAACAAATATCGCTGAAACATCATTGACCATTGATGGTATAAAGTATGTTGTTGATCCAGGCTTTAGCAAGATGAAGTCATATAACCCGAGAACAGGGATGGAATCTTTGCTTATTACTCCTATCTCCAAGGCTTCTGCAACTCAACGAGCTGGTCGAGCTGGAAGAACAAGTGCAGGGAAGTGTTATCGTCTGTACACAGCGTTTAATTATAACAATGACTTGGAGGAAAACACGGTGCCAGAAGTACAGAGGACGAATCTTGCTAGTGTGGTGCTTGCTTTGAAGAGTCTTGGAATTCATGATCTCATAAACTTTGATTTCATGGATCCTCCACCTGCTGAAGCACTTGTGAAGTCTTTAGAACTGCTCTTTGCTCTGGGTGCTTTAAATAAGCTCGGGGAATTGACTAAAGCTGGTAGAAGGATGGCTGAGTTCCCCCTTGATCCTATGCTGTCAAAGATGATTGTTGTTTCTGACAAGTATAAGTGCTCCGATGAGATAATATCAATTGCTGCTATGTTGTCAATTGGTGGCTCTATCTTCTACCGTCCTAAAGACAAACAGGTTCATGCCGACAACGCAAGAATGAATTTCCACACCGGGAATGTCGGTGACCATATTGCTTTGCTAAAGGTTTGAACCTAACCTTCTGTATTCCTTTTTTTCCACTTCATCCACTAGTTTACACTGCTATTCTCTGTATGTTTTAACATCGTCTTCGTTTTTCTCTTCAGGTTTACAGTTCATGGAAGGAAACAAATTACTCTACTCAGTGGTGCTACGAGAACTACATTCAGGTACCAAGTTGTCTCTTTTTTTTTTTCTTTGGTCAAAATACCAAGTTGTCTCTTTATGTTTATCAGATCACATGTGGATTCAATTGACATTTGTTTTGGGTCAAACATGTGTTCAGGTCCGGAGCATGAAAAGAGCCAGAGATATCCGCGATCAATTGGAGGGACTTCTTGAAAGAGTGGAAATAGAAATCAGCTCAAACCTGAATGAATTGGATTCCGTTAGGAAATCCATCGTAGCCGGTAATTTCCTTACTCTCATTCTCTGTTTTTGTTGATTTGGAATGTATAATTCTCTACAAGTATGCCTCTGCTAATGAACTTCTTACTTATACTCAGGCTTTTTTCCGCACACTGCAAAGCTACAGAAGAATGGATCCTATCGAACAGTGAAACATCCCCAGACAGTGCACATACATCCCAATTCAGGCTTATCTCAGGTTAATGAATTCTCACTCTACAACCAGAAATATCTGATTATTGACAGAATTTTAAAACTTTGAATATTGATAAATTTTTTCTCAATGCGTATTGTAGGTATTGCCGAGATGGGTTGTATATCATGAACTAGTGCTTACTTCCAAGGAATACATGCGGCAGGTAATTAATATGTTTGATCCTGCAAGGTTTAACTATAATTGGATTCCTGTTTTTAATCACTCTTGGTTTCATTCATCGATTTGTTTGTATGCTAAAAACGTTCATACCCAAAAATGCAGGTAACGGAGTTGAAACCAGAGTGGTTGATTGAGTTAGCTCCTCACTACTACCAGCTCAAGGACGTTGAAGATGGTATGAACCTTTTTTTTTCTGTGTCCAGTTATACTGTCTTCTGTAGAATCGAATCTTACAAAACCGATCTTAAATATTATTTCAGCTGCATCAAAGAAAATGCCCAAAGGAGCTGGAAAAGCTGCAATGTAAGAACTCAGATTGGATTGGCAAAAGAATAGTGGAAACAGATGTGAGTAAATATGACTTCGACAGATTGTTAGAAAAGCTCTCTTTACTACATTAACTCATTTTTGGTCAGCCTCCTGAGTTTTTGTTAGAAAATGCTTAAAATGTTATGAACAGTACAAATCAATGACCACTTATTCCCGTTGTTATATAGTGAAAGCTCGAGCTATATTATGTCTGAAATAGTAACTTCGTTTCCTCTCAAATAAAGTATCAAGCAAACTTATTTGGAAAACATTTCTGAGTGTACTTTGGAAAAAATGTGGTTAGAAAACTGAGAATCCCGGTGTGTGAAGTCAATCCAAGTTTGCAATTACAGCATCAACAACCTCCTGTGTAGTAGTATTACTGTTTCCACACTTTCCTTCAGTGACAACACGTTTCATGGCGGTTTCAAGCCGGTCTGCAAATAAAGGAAGCAGAAGATGTCTCAGCATCATAACCGAAGAGAACAGTAATGCCACAGGATTTTTATGGTTTTCTACTGGTCCAACTTGCTCAAAGATCGCATACTCAGCACCAAAACTTCCTCCAGGCATAATATCTCCATTGCCTCTCCCAGAAACACCAGCAGCAATGTTTGCAATTAGATTCCCATAGAGATTTGGAGTTACTATGACGTCGAATTGCTCTGGTTTCTCTACAAGTTGCAAACAGCAGGTATTAATACCGATTTCGTTGTAGGTGATGTTTGGATACATTTTAGCAACTTCTTGACAAGATTCCAAGAAGAATGAATCAGCCAGTTTTTTTGTCTTTTCCCTTGTTGTGAACTGCTGTAACTTGCATCCTCTTGTTCAATTTAGCAAATTCAAAAGCATACTTTGCTATACGATCAGACCAGAACTTAGCCATTGTCACCTGAAAGCTCTGTATGACACCGGGAACAACTTCGTGCTCCCACCCTGCACATTCACCTTTCGTGTTCTCTATAACCACCACGATGTCAACGTTCTTGTAGCGACTCGGTTGACCATTAAGATTAAAGCAGTTGACAAGAGATGCAAAGAGATCAAGCTCTTTCCTTCCACCACCACACAAGGAGTTATTGACTCTGCCATTCAAGCACACTTTGTTCTTCCGTATCAAGTCTACTACTTCCCGCGGAAAATGATTCATATTTTTCCCCTTTATGTTGTATGTCTCCAAGTAAACCGGCGCGTGCATTGCATCCATCACCTGCTCCACCGCGTTTGTCACAACACCGTGGATAACCGTAACAGGTCTAGGCATATATGTTGCGGATCGGGTCTGAATTCCAGACCCGGTAGTGATACTACTGAGATTCTTCAGGATAGATATAAATCGATGAGACATGATCCGCCTCCAATTTTGGGTGGAAGATGATCCACTTGGTCAGTTATGAATTTTAAACGATCACAAAACATTAGCTGGTCCATGACATGTTCTTGGTAGAGTAAAAATAAAACTATGTAGTTTTTTGTTAAAGAGTTGACTAAAGTAAGAGTTAGAACATAATGGAACACATGTCCTCGATTGAAGCATGACTTAGACCTCACATTAGACCTCACATTTCTTCGTGGGCGATTTTATTAATTCATATAGACAACAAAAAAAAAACAATTGGCTTTGGTTCATGTTCTTCTTCCCGACTTCCCCTTGCAGAGAAGAGAGTTCCATCATCTTGATGATCATGTATATATCCTTTCGTAATTTGAATGAACCCTATTGGGTCGAGGATTATGATTCCAGATGAAGGTTCATGAGTATCAACCCCAAAGCCAATTGTTAATTAATGCTTTAACTCATGCTTCTTATATACTAGATTAGATTCTTAAATGTCTCCGATGTGGGATTATACACTAAATTTCGATTTCTGGCCGACACTAATATCATCAGAAGGTACCGTAAACCTCAAGTTATTATGCTTATTGGCCTTTTGGGCCGAAATAAGCCCGTTTAAGTTTTTCTTGTTTCTTTTTATTCATATATTTATTTTACTTTGTTCAAATTCAAAACCTTTTGACCTACCAAAAAAAAAAAAAATTTAAAACCTTCTGAATGGTGGAGAAGGTTTGGGTCACACTTTTTTGGACGACACCATTAAGATGAGGCCTTTGTTTTCTGCCATACATCTAAAGATAGAACACAAACGTCAATAAAAGCAAATTAAGATCTCTCTTTACTATTTTCCCACTTTCCTTTGACAAAACACACAAAAACAGAAACCAGAAGAAAAAATGGCATTGAGAATGTGGGCTTCCTCTACAGCAAATGCTCTCAAGCTCTCTTCTTCTGGCTCCAAATCTCATCTCTTGCCAGCTTTCTCTATCTCCAGATGCTTCTCCTCAGGTAAGAAAACAACATCTTTTGACACAACTTGTGTGTTGCATCGGTTCTGTTTTACGACTCTTGTCTGAAACTCTGTACTGGGTGTTTGGTTTTTTTAAGTGTTGGAAGGACTTAAGTATGCAAATTCACATGAGTGGGTGAAACATGAAGGCTCAGTTGCTACAATTGGTATCACTGACCATGCCCAGGTAACAAAGACATAACTCTCAGAACTAGTTTAGATCAGTTTAGCTCAGTAACTAGTTAATTTAGATCAGTTTTAGTGTCTGAAAGAGAGTGATTATATATGTTGATGATGTGCAGGACCATTTAGGAGAAGTTGTGTTTGTGGAGCTACCAGAAGCAAACAGTTCAGTGAGCAAAGAAAAAAGCTTTGGAGCTGTTGAGAGTGTTAAGGCCACAAGTGAGATTCTATCTCCAATCTCCGGTGAAGTCATTGAGGTTAACACAAAGCTCACCGAGTCACCTGGTTTGGTAAGTTCTTACATTTTGAACAATACCTCTGTTTGTAGTGTTGCGCAGATCAATCTGATTAGTCGATTTTTCATTTGTGTAGATCAACTCAAGCCCTTATGAAGAAGGTTGGATGATAAAGGTGAAACCAAGCAGCCCCGCGGAGCTAGAAGCCTTGATGGGTCCAAAGGAATACACCAAGTTCTGCGAAGACGAAGACGCTGCTCACTAGGGTTTCTTCGCCTTTCATCTTTCCCAAATGTTAAAAAAAAAAGAGCAAAACAAAAGAATCCATGCTAAAGTTTCAATCTTTCATTTCTCAATGTTTCTTACCACTCTCAGCTTGTATCAGTGTGATACTAATTTGATTAAAAGATCATCCAATGAGACTCAACAGAGCTTTTAACTTATATAAGACATGTCAAAGAAGCACACACACACACACACACAGAAAACAGAAACTTCATTGATTTTCAATCATATAGTTTGAGGAGAAACGTTTAACATATAACAATGGTCTCACTTTTAGACCAAACCAAAGTCTTTTGCATAAGAAAGTAAAGACTTCAAGCTGTACATAAACTTCCTATCCACGACATGTACCGTTAGGCAGGGTCGGCGAAACAGCTACATCCACATCCGGTGAAGGCGACGGTGACTCGTCGTAAGATATCGAAATCAGCTCATCTCTAAGCTTCTCCTCATCATCTTTGTTTCTTTTGGTACCTCCGTTTGAGATATTAGTGACAGGTTTCACATCTGAGTACGTTATAACCTCGTCTTCCTCGGGTGAAGTGTAAGAGATTTCGATGAGCGATTCACGAGCTTGTTCTTGAGAGGTCTTGTTGTTCCTCGGTTGTTCCATCAATACCTTTAAACTTCTGCATAATTTTTAGACCAGAGGAACAAAACCCATCTTACATTGTTCTATATGAAAACAACAATTACGTTTTCACAACAATTTCAATACCAAATCCAAAATCTCTAATCATTTTGCACATTGAAACAAAACCCAATTAAAAATCCAAATTCTCCAATCAACAACAACAAAGACAAATCCATGTAAGAATATTAAAACTTTACAATTTATACAAATCAAGAAACGAATCAATCACTAATCTTTAAAAAAAAAACCTAAATTCTCAAAATTAGCTCCCAAAAGTCAACGCAGTTTCTAGTTTTTTTTTTTTCCTCTTTCTCTCCGAACTCTCGAGATTTGCCCAGGAAAAAAAAACGAAACTTTCGGATTCAAGAAAAAAAAACAGAGAAGAAATCGGAAAATCAGACAAAGAAAGAGATGGAGAAGAAATCGGTACCTTGGGGTTGATTCGTCTTCGTACGGTAATGAAAAAAAGACAAATTGGATAATATTTTTTGGTAATGATTTTTATTGCCGAGTTTTGTTTCCACGTTTTTTATTTGACCTTGAAGAGTTAAATATTCTTTGCCAGCTCGTTCACACGTCGACAATGATCTTCAATTAGCAAGTGGTGATTTATATTGACAACTAGGTCCTTTATTTTCTCTTCTATTTAGGATTATTTATCGTAATCTTAATGAATATTTATTAGCCCTTGGTTAAGATAAGTGTTAGGCGTTAAGTAGGCAGCGAGTCTTCTTCTAACGCCTAAAAAACCTAATTGGAGCTTAGACAGTTTTAAAATAATAATATATATATAATAAAAATATTTAATATTACTGAAAGAAAATTTAAAATTTTTATATTTAAAAACTGAAAGAAAATTTACACATTAAATAGAATACTATAAAAAAAAAGCAAGAAATATTATTTTTTAGATACAGTTTTGAATTTTAAAGAATAAAAAAATATTAGACATATATAAAACGGCTTAATCCCCTAACCCGCTTAATTACCGTATTATCAGCCTAACATCACAGCCTAAGATATTTTTTTGAGCATTAGTTAATATAAAATTGATTATTGTTTTTTAGATTATGATATGTGTATAAATGTTTAGAAATATGAGAAACTCAAAATTGAAATAAAAGATGGATAGTGTTAAAAACAAATATAACTTAATAGCGAACAAATAAATTTAGAATAATAATAGGATATGTAATTGTTCAAATTTTAATATGAAAGAATAAAAAAGAATAGTCTCCTAAGAAAAAATGCATGGTAAAACGGATCTATCAATTATAAATTGTAAAAAAAAAAAAAATTTGCTCCAAAAAAAAAGAAAACTAATAACGGAAATACGACAATGAAGAAGATGTTAAAACAGGAAAGTTGAGACCACCAAAAATGGGAATGGGTATGTCAAAAACGAAAGTTGACAAAAAAGATGTTTAATAGGGAAATTGAACAAAAATATTTTAGAAAGGGAAAATAAACTACTTGAACAAAAAAAATACTCTATTTATTTCATACTAATATGAATTTTAAAAATTTAGGAATTATATATTTATATAAATTGTAAATTTAAATATTATACCTTAACTTGAATCTCTTTATAATTTGTTTTCAGTGCATATCAAGTAATAAACTACAAATTTAAGGTTATTTTCATAAATATACTTATTAAATGATATTAGTAGGATATCTTAATTTATAGACTAAAACATATGCTTAACAAAAAAAATATATAAACCACATAATTCATTGTTATTACAGATTTAAATGTATTAATAGTATATGTTTGGGTGAAATTTTGTCTCTTAATTACTAGACGAATCTCTTACTCTTACCGTTTACTTGTATTTAGATTAGGTGAATTGTTACTCACTTACTTGTATTTAGATTAGGTAGTGAATTGTTAAGTATCATTGCTTTACTTCAACTCCTTCAAGCCCATACAGCAGAGTTATACGGCATTGCGGCAATATTGTCCATCATATAAGACACTTACGTAACATGGTGGTCAAAATAGGTAATAGTCAGCTTAATGTTGATAAGCTTGAAAAGATGACTTGAGTAATAAGTCATTACATGTTAAAAGAAGTCGGTTTTAAAGATTTGAAGTTATCCAATAGTATTAGGAGTTATCTAATACAAGTCCTTAAGTCGGTTTAGGATTAGGGTTAAGTGTTGTCTATATAAGAGATGCCAAGAGTTGTGGTATTCCTTATGTGTGTGTATGTGTGTTAGGGTTTGAGAGTTTGAGTTTGTGAACGCTTGGTTTTGAGTTAGTTTCCAAAGCAATAAAAGAGAGTGTCTTTTATATTCATAAACTTGTTCAATCCTTAAGCGTTTGATACAATAATTGGTATCAGAGCTTCGATCACGAGAAGATAAACAGAGCACGATCACGAGAAGGTGATCCGTGAGGAAACATGGGAGAGTTGATACCGGTAGCGAATTACAAAGAAGGAGGTGGTACCTCATCCATTCAGTGTCCAATTTTAAACCCTACAAACTATACGTTCTGGACAATACGCATGACGATGGCGCTAAAGATTCACAAAGTCTGGGATGCTATTGAACCCGGATCAGAGGACGTTGATAAGAATAACATGGCCAGTGCCCTTCTTCTTCAATCTATTCCCGAAGCTTTAACACTTCAAGTCGGGAAACTAAATACAACTAAGAAAATATGGGATGCGATTAAAGCTAGACATTTAGGAGCTGATAGGGTCAAAGATGCAAGATTGCAAACCCTAATGGGAGAATTTGAGAGGATAAAGATGAAGGAAACTGACAAGATTGATGACTTTGCGGGAAAACTATCTGAATTATCTACAAAAGCAGCAGCTCTTGGAAACAGTTTAGAAGAACCAAAACTTGTCAAAAAGTTCCTTAAAAGCTTACCTAGAAAGAAGTACATACATATCATTGCCGCACTTGAGCAAGTTCTTGATCTTAACACAACAAGTTTTGAGGATATCGTTGGAAGATTAAAAGCTTATGAAGAAAGAATCTGTGATGATGAATATAATCAAGATGATCAAGGCAAATTGATGTATGCTAATTCTGAAACACAAAAAGCTCAAACAAATTGGTTTACAAACAGAGGAAGAGGAAATGGTGGACGGTCTTATGGAAGAGGAAGAGGACGAGGACGTTTTGGCAACTCACAGGGTAATGGAGGATACAGAGACACAAGCAAAATCACTTGCTACCGATGTGATAAACTAGGACATTACGCATCAGACTGTCCTGATAGATTGCTAAAATTACAAGAAACTCAAGAAAACAAGAGTGATGATACACAACAAACAGAATCATTAATGATGCATGAAGTAGTGTTTCTCAATGAAAAGAATGTACTACCAAACAACTTCGAGACAAGCTTAGATCTGGAGAACATGTGGTACCTAGATAACGGGGCAAGCAATCATATGACAGGACACCTAGACTATTTTTCATATCTTGATCAAACCATCACAGGAAAAGTGAGGTTCGGAGACGACTCCCGTATTGACATAAAAGGAAAAGGTCTGATCACATTCATAATCAAAAACGGAGAAAGAAGATCTTTGCCAAATGTCTATTACATACCTGATTTGAAAAGTAACATTGTGAGTCTAGGACAGGCTACTGAGGCTGGATGTGATGTTAGAATGAGAGAAGATTATCTAATTTTGTATGACAAAGAGGGTAAGTTGCTGGTAAAGGCGATAAGGTCGAGAAACCAACTTTACAAAGTAAGTCTTGAAGTAGAAAGTCCTAAATGTTTGCATCTTGTGATATCAAATGAATCAAGAATATGGCACGCACGATTAGGACATATTGGAATAGATGTCATAAAGAGTATGATGCAGAAAGAGTTAGTCATTGGTCCCCCACAGTTTGAAATTGAAAAAGATGTATGTGGCTCGTGTTTGCTTGGAAAACAAGCAAGGAAATCTTTTCCTCAAGCAACAGTGTTCAGAGCCTCAAGTAAACTTGAGCTCATACATGGGGATCTCTGTGGCCCTATTACACCTCCTACTGCAGCACACAACAAGTATGTTTTTGTTCTAATTGATGACTATTCACGGTATATGTGGTCAATTCTCTTGAAAGAAAAGAATGAGGCATTTCAGAAATTCAAAATTTTTAAAACCTGCATTGAAAAGGAAACATGTACTACTATCAAGAAACTTAGAACGGACAGAGGTGGATAGTTTGTGTCTCAAGAGTTTCAAATGTTTTGTGATGCCACAAGTATCAAGAGACATTTAACGGCACCTTATTCTCCACAGCAAAACAGAGTAGTTGAAAGGCGAAACAGAACGTTAATGGGAATGACACGAAGTCTCTTAAAACACATGAGTATACCAAACTACCTATGGGGAGAAGCAGTAAGGCATGCCACATATCTCATAAATAGGGTGTCAACAAGAACTTTGTTGAATCAAACACCATATGAAGCTTTCTGGGAAAAAAGGCCAAACATAGAACACTTGAGGGTTTTTGGGTGTATCGGGTATGCTAAAGCAGAAGCTACACATTTAAGAAAGCTAGATGATCGCTCAAGAATGCTAGTCCACCTAGAAACTGAACCAGGATCAAAGGCTTATAGACTATTAGATCCTACAAAGAGGAGAATAGTGGTAAACAGAGATGTAGTGTTTGATGAAAATAAAGGCTGGAAATGGAACAATTTAGAGCATGAGACTGATAGTAGTCCAGGGATGTTTAGCCTGGTATTTGGAGAGTTTGGAAATAACGGCATAAGAGAAGAAAATGTCTACACTGAGACAGAAAATAATGAAAGAGAGAATGATAGTGACAGAGATGAGGAGCCTAGTGAAGAAAATATTGAAAACATTGATACTGGTACTCATGACATAAGCTCTGAAGAAAGACTAGAACAACCACAACCTAGACTAAGAAGATCAGAGAGAGAGACTGCTAGACCAAAATATCTGAATGACTATGTTCTCCTAGCTGAAATTGAATGTGAACGACTTCTTCTTGCAATAAATGAGGAACCATGGGACTATAATGAAGCAAAAGAAGAAAAAGAATGGAGGGAAGCTTGTGATGAAGAGATTTCTTCAATAACAAAAAAATAAAACTTGGGATCTAGTAGATCTCCTGCTGGAGTAAAACCAATTGGGCTCAAATGGATGTTTAAAATCAAAAGAAACTCTGATGGAAGCATTAATAAGTACAAAGCCAGATTAGTAGCTAAAGGATATGTGCAAAGACATGGCATAGATTTTGATGAGGTCTTTGCTCCAGTGGCCCGTATAGAAACAGTGCGTCTCATTATTGCTCTTGCTGCATCTAATGGTTGGGAAGTGCATAACCTCGACGTAAAAACAGCTTTCCTTCATGGAGAATTGAAAGAGGAAGTATATGTGTGTCAACCTGAGGGTTATGTTGCAGAGGGAGCAGAGAACAAAGTATACAAGCTGCATAAGGCTCTTTATGGGCTTAAACAAGCCCCAAGGGCATGGAACAACAAGCTGAATCAAATACTTATGGAATTAAAATTTGTGAAATGTTCTAAGGAACCTTCACTGTATCAGAAAAGGGATAAAGAAGATCTTCTTGTTGTGGCAGTATATGTTGATGACCTACTGGTTACTGGTTCAAGAAAGGTATGGCAGAAAAATTCGAGATGAGTGATCTTGGTAAGCTTACTTACTACTTAGGAATTGAAGTAATTCAAAGCAAGGATGGTATCAAGTTATGTCAAGAAAGATATGCAAGCAAGATTCTTGAAGAAACTGGTTTTGGAGATTGCAATGCAGTTCATGTCCCAATGTGTGCAAATTTGAAGTTAAGTAAAGCTCAGAATGAGAAGAACATAGATGAAAAAGGGTATAGAAGGAATATTGGATGTCTCAGGTATCTACTTCATACTAGGCCGGATCTCTCATACTGTGTTAGAGTCTTGAGTAGATATATGCATGAGCCGAAAGAGTCTCATGGAGCAGCTTTGAAGCAAATACTCAGATATTTGCAAGGTACTCGATCCTATGGACTCTGCTTTGGCCGCAGGAACAAAACAGAGTTGGTAGGTTTTAGTGACAGTAGTCACAA